ATCTTTTCAATGAATACTTGGCTAAGACCAAACATAAACTGTCAGAAATCCAGCTTGCGTTTGTGAAAGCTGCCATCCATCGTTGTCCACTGCCGCTGTATGCTGTCATGGTTGCTAAACTTGCAGTTACCTGGCATAATTCAACAGAAGTTGGGGAAGATGTCATGCCCGGGTCGTTGGATAAAATAATTAATATTTTCTTTGAGTACATGGAAACGATAATTCCTTCAGATTGCTATAGTGCAATGATGGCTTATTTCACCGGATCAATGGGAGGGATCTGCAAATGGGAAATGGAAGATCTTTTATCCGTCAATGACTCTGTATTGTTGTCTATAAACTCAGATGTTAAGAACCCACTCATTCACAGAGCGCCACCTGTTTTGTGGAAGTCGATTCTGTTTGTGTTCAAACCGTTCTTAAATTTGTTTGTCTCACAACACTTCTACTCCCACTCCTGGGCCAGCAACTCCGTTAAAAAATCTGCGTCTGCCAGGTATGTCAGCAGTGACGTCACCAGCAATATTCTACACCGTGAGCTCAGTGATCATTTTCTCGGCCGATGGTCCGAAAAGAAAAAACCTTACCCCGATCCCGAAGAAGAAATCGAGCTGCTGCAGGATCGGTTTATTCTACCGCAACCAGAGCAGACCGGAAAGCATTACAATGTGCGGAAACTTATGTGCCTTCCATACCATTTGATGAAAAGTAAAAACAAGAACGCCTACGTTCTAGAAACGTGCATACTCAGCCTCTCCTGGTTGGAGAATAAAATCAATGCTGTTTCTGTTCTACAGCTTGTCTGTGATCTGGAACTAGCTAAAACAATGGAGACTTCATGCTCTGGTGATATTCAATTCATGCAGGAAATTCTTCTCACTTATGCCAGCAGTCTCGCACCGAATGGAAGAGAAGTGTACAAACTTTTAAGGTATCACATAACCAAGGAAAAGAAAAGTGGCAACAAAAAACTTAGTGTAAAAAATAACGGACTGTCGAAATTTTATTACTCGTTATCAAATCCACCTTGGTCGTTTTTATGTTTACTTGACCCCATTCCTGACGTCTGCTCAACTTCATCTTCCTCTGTTGACGCCATAGTTCCATTATCACATGACCTGCATGAAACACATGTGGCCATCATTTTAAAATCTCAAGGGGAGATAAAAATTATAAACATTGTGACGAATGTTTGTGTTCGGACTCTAACAGGCCTTGACCTCCCCCAAACTCTCACAATACTGAACTCACCCACAGCTGTTGTCTTATGCAATCGGGAGCTGTGTATTATAAACCTTGACGAGGGCAGGGTCGTGACCAAACTCAGAGGAGTTTTAAACTTGAGGCTGCCATTGTTTGGTCTGCAGAACAAGCAGAGAGTTGTGGTTCTTTCTAGGGACAGAATGGTGGTGAACATCTTGGATATAGAGACAGACAGCATTGTGGCCTCGTTCAAGGTAACAACAGCCTTACAATAAGTCTAATAATAACATGTTCAAAGTCGTATAACTTATGTTCCTTGTCTCTTTTATGTACATATTTAAAAAATGTCATTGGTTTTTTTTCCTGCTACATTTAAAATGGTGAAATTACTAACATGATTTTAAAATTTGAATTATTACTGCATAGGCTTTACTTGATCAAAGCACCAGACTTTAGAAGAATTACATTTGATTCTATTAAGGTAAATTAAAATGTAACAGAGCGCCCAACCAGCAAGGCAACTTACCTTGATTTTCAGTATGTCTAAATAGTGCTATATCTTATATAGAAAAACATTGATTTGCTCCAGTTACCTTTTAAATTGTGTTTATTGTTTGTTTTTTTTAAATATTGCAAATATTCTTAAATAAAAAACATTACTTTGGTGTTCTGTGTAGTTGGATTGCTAAAGCTCATGGTTGCTAAACCAATAAGTCCCTAGTTCAAATGCCTTGGCAGATGAGGCTTGATAGCTGGGGACAACAATCCACAAGGAGAGAAAATTCCAAAATTTTAAAAACCTGATGCTTTGTAGTTTGTCCTTATAAGTACAAATGCTATGGAAGCTAGTCGCTGGGCCAAATGGTGCATAAAAAGTTGCCAAGAAATACTTAATTGTGTTGGAGGAAATCCCATTCAACTTCACAATTAAGCACAAAGAAAAAAAAAACTCCATATTTTTCTAGGTAGTTTAATTTTGTAATGCTTGTTTTCTGTTTCCAGGCAGGGGAAACCAGATTTCTTGACAGCTTGATCCTGAGTGAGGATGGCAGCGTGCTGGTCTGTGGGGACGAGACACAGAAACCTTTCCCTCTGCTGGTCTGGAGCCTGGTGGAGTGTAAGCTGCTGCATGACATCCGCATGGCCAAGCACGAGTTCCTCACCCATCTGGCTGCCATCTCCAGTGACGGACACTACTTAGCCTGCGGGTGTAGGGTGATGACTCTTTTCTAGTGACTCAATAATGTTTAACACATCACTGTTTTTTTTTTTTTATAATGGCTCACTTTATATGCAAGCTCATAAGAGTTGAGTTCAGATCCCGGGCTCAAGTCTGTAAGACATCCCTATGTCCACTATGATTGGTACCTGTTTCCTGTTAGGGAAAGTAACTGGGCATAATGCTGACCACACGATCCCTTCATGTGCAGAGATCACAGAAATAGGTGAACTCTACTTCACCTGCTCCATGGACCATCAGGTTAAAAAAAGGGAACTTAAAAGTTTTTTTTAGTTATGTATTGATTTATCCATTTAAACTTTATTATTATTGCTAGCCATTTATATTCTAAATTTTTTAAGAAGGTAGATTATTTACTACAATCTCTATGCCATTACCATAGAAGCAAAGTAACTCTACTTCATCAAATTCTGAGTACTGTCAGGTCTTGAAGCACACTTTACCACATTAGTCTACTATATTTATTAAGCCCCAAACTGTATTTAGTTATAATTGTAATAAAATTGTAATGAAATTTTTTTTTCTTCTATTAAAATTTTTTTTTTTCTATTCAATTGAATGTCAATTTACAAAAATTTCATTAAAACATAAAAGCAGCATAAATTGTATGTTCTCTTACTCGCTAGTATTATATCCTTAACCTAGTCATGAGCATAATCCTAAGCATATCCATCTTCCTCTATTGTCCTACATGCATGTTTATAATTACCAAATGTCTTACCAAGAGTAATGACTGTCTTAACTCTTGTAAATGATCACCAGGAAGTGGATGAGCTGGATTCCAACTTTGTTACACTCTTTGACCTCAGGAGTGGTCATCTAATGAAGAAAATCAGATCTGATGCCATGTGCACTGCCGTGGCTGTGTCTTCAAAGCTCATGAGTGTGGTTGTGGTGCTGGACACTGGTCAGTTGTCCATCTGGGACATTATCTCTGGAAACCACAGGTGAGAAGGACTGCTATATTTAAAATACTTTATTTTTAAAAAAAAGTAATTTGCTTCAATTCATCTAGGAGAATTAAAAGCCATTCAATGATGGGTTACAAATATCTTTATTATATTTTATGCACATTGAAATGCAGCTGATGATTTGTATACTGTAACTAATTTGATTAAATATTGTTAGCTCTTATGTCATTTCTATTTTGGCTTTTTGTAACCTTTCTAGAGTTAGACATTTGTTTAATGATTACTCAGCTTTTTATAAACGGACACTCTTTATGATGGACCATGCAATTGTAGATTACTTAACTTCCATCTTGATTCATCTTGAAACTTGAAGTCATTTGCATTTTTCTCCTTTGTCCCACTTTCTTTTAATCATATTTGATGAATCACTTTATTAATGTTGAGTTTAGAGAATGTCGAAATATAATAAAACCGTTCACGTTTTATATCAGTGTATGATAATGCCTCAATAATGGAATCTTTCTGAACGCTTGTGTTGGCTACTGGTAGTAAACTACATACTAATATAATCTCAAAAATAGCTATAACCTTCATTTTAGCCCTAACATTAAACCTAGTATTACAATAATACTAAAAACCCGATTTATTTTTGGAAATCTTATACATGGCACAGGTAGAAGGAATACTTTAATAAAGCTTTTTAAAATGTGAAAAGTTTGTGTGCAAATTAAAAGGTTTAATTATTGTTCAATTTGTGCTATACAGGTATTTAATTACTAGTTGTAATGATTCCATTAGACCCAGGTGATAAATGTTAGAAAGAAGTTAAAGACGTCTTTGGTGACCATTTTTTTCCTCCCCAGATGTCTGATAGATGGAGCCAAAGTGGCATGTGACACAATTACTTTGACACCAGATGGGAAAAAATGCCTGACATTTTGTCGACAAGACATGTCAATTAGTTCCAGAACAATCAGCCTGTGGAGCATTGAGACAGGTATGCAAACTCACTCATTAGATTCTATCTTTAATGGTTGTAAGATGAGTTTCAGACATCATCTGGGGAGGGGGAGCCCTGCCCCTCAGAGCATGTCCACCACTGGACTAAATGGAAGAAGTATATATCTTCTTCTATAGAATATAAATACCTAATCCTCTCCCCCCCCCCCCCTCAAAACACTGGTGGTAAAATATCTATACATTAATAGAGTAGCTTTTGAAATGTAGGTGAACTTTTTTTCTTGATGTAGAACCAAACTCAATTTTTTTATGGTGTTTATCTTTGATTTACTTTTAGGAGAATTTATAGCCAGCCAAACCTTTGAGTCCTCTATAACATCAGCATACCTCAGCCCTGATGGTCAAATGGTGCTTGTCGGGGTTAAAGGTCATTCCCAGCCAATCAGATTACTCTTAGTACCAGCTGGATCAAGCATAAAAACAACCAAGAAAAGATGGGAAATGGATAGTGGGAGCAAAGTGTTTGGTGACATCAGACGGCATGAGGCCACCATTAATGTGGCAATGACAACTGACACATAAGATTATAACCGATGACATGAACAGACTTAACTAATAAGACATAAAGGATGGAAGATAATAGAGAAAACAAAGATAAAAATATTTTATTTATTTTTATTTTATTAAATTTTTGTACAAACAATAAACAAGAATATACATCTTTGTTTTAACTGTATCTAATTGATTGAGCATATTATTAAACTGCTTCCAAATACTGTCAAGAATGTGATTATTAAAAAAAGCTTTTGTTTACATAGTAAAAAATTCCCTAAGGCTGGAAAAATAATTGTTAAAAAAATTTAAACCTGAATTTCATTTAACCTAAAATTAATACTATATAAAAACTTCAAACTGCATTAAAAAAAGAATGTAAATATTAATTTTCTGTTCCTGGTGGCTTTAAAGGATAACCATCATCAAAAGAAACTTTTTTAGGCAGTGGTTTTAAATGTTGGTTATTTCCCCCAAAAGGTCTAGTTACGTCCCCTGACAGCTCAGTGCTAGATTTTTCCCCAGTAGCTTGCCCTGTGCTATAAATACTGGCAGGAGATGACTGAGGTGCTATAGCCCCCTCCTCCTTTCCTTCCCCTCCTTTCATCAGCTGTTCCAGCCCCCATCTCCTGTTCTCAATCTCTTTCTGCAGCTGGGTGTAGTGTCCGACCAGAGTTTTGAACTCCACACCAATGGCGTGGTAGGCTTGGAGAGACTGGGTTGTGCTTGTCAGTTCAGTTTCTGTTTGTTTGATTTCATTGTCCAAGTGTTCTCTGTTGGTTTAATATAGTTATGTTTTTATAAAGAAAAAAATCTGAACCAATTCTAACAAGAAAATGGTAATGCAATTATTCAATAAAAATACTGACAGAAATAATAGTGAAGTAAAGTATAGTGTGGTTGAGTAGAAGGGTGTAAGCAGTATTTTAAAAACATGGATTTTGGTAATATTCTACATCAGTATAACACTGATTCTATTCAGCTCTAATATAAATCTTACAACAGTTAGGGAAAGTAAAAACAGTCAGATAAGTAACTGCCCAACACAAACCTGTTACATCGGGGTGAAACCACACAACTCATCTTCATCAATTAAATAGGTCTTATAAATTTAAAAAAAAACTTGTACAGTCCCAATAAACACATTAATAAAATACTTTAGTTACCTCACACAAAAATACAGGGTAAAATAGATTTTTAAAAAATCACATAAATTATTTTAAACTTAAGGACAAACTGATAAAAAAAGTTTTACCCAATTTTCCTCAGTGCTTTGACAGATTCTGTTGTGTATGTATCGCAGAGTATTTGTAGCTGTGTCAGTCTAAAAATAGATTAAACACATTTTTTGTTTACAAACAAATTGAAGGTTTGAAGAAAAAGTCTTTGCATGGATATAAAAATTAGCTTTAGTAAATATTGAGGATTTCAACAAAGAGGGCATATTTTTTGGCACTTTTTTGCTTATATTAGTAATACAATTAAAAAACATCTCTTTAAAATAGCATTATTTTCAAATTTCTGTCAAATTTCCCTGCACATAAAACACTTGCTACAATACCAATGAAAAAAATATCTAGCTGACCTGACTTTTAAACAGAGAGCATCACACCTCGCCTTCAACCACTCCACAGTCACCTCGTCAGCGTTTGACTGATGGACAAACTTGTATTCTTTGATTATTGTTTCCATGATGGACAGGCTCTCCAATAATTTCTATTCAATCATTCATTTTCATTAATCAAATATGATAAATGTGTGTATTATTCAGTGCCCTAACCATGACATATGCTTTGGTTTCAAGCTAGTTTTAGTTTCTATTAAGATACAAAGTTTAATGATGCCATAATATGGCCTGTTAAATGTTAAATTAAAGCTATAGATATATAATGCTCTTGTCTTATACAGGCATGAGGGTCTTCTTCCAAATTATATAACCTATACTAGACCAACTGTCACAAAACAAGATGAATGTTAAAAAATATGAGCAAAAAATAATGATTAAAAATGTAGATAAAGACCTAGCAGTTAATCAAAAATTCTTTGGTCATCCTATCTTTTTTATGTCAAACTAAAACAAAATAGCTCCAAAAGTGTATATAAAGACCTGGTAGTATGTCCAAAATTCTCTGGTTATTCTGTCTTTCTTGATGTCAAGCTTCATCTGATTTAACGTCTGCTGTTTCTGTTCAACTAAAGCAGGAAGTGAGGTGGCTTTGGCTACTAGCAGACGATCAGAAGTTGATTCTTGACCTAACCGTTGAGTATTTTATATATTTAATATTTTTTTTTTAAATACTAACTGGAAAATCAAATGAGCTATGCTATGGTTGAAAGATGATAACATAAAAAATAAATTGGCTTTGGGTTTAAATCCACATTGCCAAATGATCACACTTGCAGAAAAACTATACCTTACCAATCTTATTCTTTAAAAAATTTAATGAATCCATTAATAATTCTTTAACTCTTTTATAGGTAAAACTTTATTTTGAATACACATGGATTAAATCATTCCATGAGGGTTGTTTTAATTTGGTTCCTAGTGATGGGAGGAGTACAACACAATGATAAAAGTTGACAACTGACTTTTGCTTGGGTCATAGAAGTTATACAGATCTTCACATTTCTTTCTCAGTTTTTCTTCCAGCATGGGGATGACAACTTGTTGGAATTCTTCAAGATGCTGGGGAAACAATAAACACATTATGTACATTTAAATATTTTTTAAATTTAAATTAACTTTACTTTAGCTGGTAATTATAAATATTAGCCCAGCGAAATAAATTTATTATAATAAATCAAACTTAAAGTTATTTTTAAACTTTTTGTCTCAAAAATGAAAGCAAAAAAATTAGTTTGTATCCATCAGTGTGTATACGGGAATAAAAACTCCTGCGCACATAAAAAGAAAATACAAATTAATAAGATACTAACATTTGAGACAGGATTGTGACGTTTGATGTCACTTTCAGATAACCCAAAAAGAGTGGACTTGGAGGTGAGACTTGGAAGGAAATGCAGATAGTCAGGTATCTCGTTGTATGACATTGTCTTTGTGAAAACTTGATGAAACTGAAAAATTACAAACATAACTAACTGATCATAACATTCTGCAATTAGAAACTCTAGCTTGCCACATATCGGAAAATTATCTCTTTTCTGTAGGCATAAAATTTGAGGGATCCTAGTGTATTCTATATATTTTAGTTCAATCACCCATAGTATGCATGGATTAGCTTTCATCGAGATTATCATTGGCCCAATTATTTCTAGAATGATGGATTAGAGTTAGTTCTAGCATTAAGAATCGGATTATCATGCATTGAAGACTAACTTACTTAAGCTGGGGAATGTTGTCTTAGCATTGTACTGACCACACAACTCATCAAATGCAGTGACCACAGGAACAGACAAACTCAACTACATCTTCACTATACAACACCACAAATTTAAACAAATGTTATTGTAGATGAAAGTTAATTTAGGAAAAGTACCTGTTTTTCATCCAATGAAAGTGTACCTTCTTGACCTCTGACATCCAAGTCTGTCAAAAGTTCATAAAGCTCATGATAAATTACATGATTCATTAGCCAGTTGTAACGAGATTGAGTGATAGTTCTTTTGGCCTAGAGAAACAGAAAAATAAAATACCAATGAAAAATCAAATTTTTTCCTTCTATTGATTTTAAGCATGTGTGCTGAATTCAGTTCCTGAAACCCTGGAATAAACTAAATTTAAATTGTGCTGTTACAATTGTCTGTGCTAAAAACTTTACTAAAGTTACAAACCAGATCCATTTTTTTCTGCACATGATAACTACATCCATTAGGTGTCAATTTATCTCCTAAGCGTGTAAGAAGGGAAGTGAACTGTGGGTACTTGGATAACTCTTCCTCACTCATCAGTATAGGCCATGAATCTAAAAAAAAAATTTCAAACAAAAGGGGTTTTAATGTATATTACAAGCACAGTTTAAACAGGAAATTAATAAGCAAGTGATAATAAAATCAAAAGTTTGGAAAATTTCTAAATCAAATAAAATGTACTATTAGGCTAAAGCTAGTCCTATTGCATGGCCTATTATTTATTTTATTGACATTAGGCTAGGCTTCATATAAGTTACATTTAAGTTTACCTTGAAAATATGACATGCTTTTTTCAGGCTGCTAGATCAGTCCTACTCAACTGAGATCACAATACTAGTCTAGAATTTTAAAAAATATTAAATTAAAAATAAATAAAAGCCACCAAGCATTCTGATTTAAGAGAAAAAATTCAATTATTTTGAAAAAAAAGGTTTTAAGCTAATAGGCCTAAATTTGTTAATTACTAAAATAAGGTCTACAGACCTAGATCTCTAGATAGATAATAAGATATTTATTTGTATCTAGGCCTACAATTCTACAATCTACTAATTATTATATTTAATTAAATTATAGAATATGGGGGGGGGGGGGGGGAGGCCCTAATCTATCTTTTTAGGTATGTAAAGTTAGCCATATAATAGATAGGGGTAACTCCATTTTAGCGTATTTTATTCCCAGTTTCACGTTCACCTCTGGTTGAGCGTATTTTATTATATATACACCACCAAAACACAAAAAAATGTTTGGAAAACACTAGGATTAGTTAGTAGGTGATAGATAGTAATAGATATTTAGATTTGGATCTACTTATTTTTTTATGAATGTGTGTTTTAATTAGAAAAGGTAAAAAAAAAATTATAAATAAGCATTACAGTTTCAATTAAATAGCATGTGATCGTCGGTGGGAGAAAAATCACTTACATGCCATGGTGAAGGGTTCACTGTGAGTTCTAATTGACTTTAATTATCAGCATACGTCAATAGGACTCAATAGCTTAGGGCTTAAGGCCATTGTGAGTTCATATAAGTTTATTTATAGTATCATGAGTGCGAGATATTTTTTACAATACAAACTTAACAGACTTGCATTTAAATTTATGAGTTTCTCCATATAATATATATGACACAAACCTATTTATAAGAGAAAAAAATAAACCGGGAGTGATCTCCCCTAAACTTTCTTGAATATTTTTATATAAAATAACAGGGGATGGGAACTCAGGCTATAGACATGATTTTTAATCCATTTTAAATACTTAAAGTTTTAAAAATAGAATAAAAACTCGTAGACAAAAGAATTGCACACCAAGTGAACGCTAAATAAAAAAGTGCATAGGCCTAATAGTGTGCAATATTATCAGTACTTTAAAAATTTACATTAGTTTTTTGAGAAATCGGAAGTAGCGTAAATTACTACTTCCGTTCAACGGAAACGACTCAAAATTTAACAGAAGGTAGAGAATTAGATCTTTTACTTACATGTGAAATTTTGTTTATCTATCTGAAATAGTACTCAAGTTAGAGGCTTTTGAAAATTTCAAAGTAGGAAAAGTACCACTTCCGGTTATCGGAAATCGCTCAAAAGTTGATACGGATCTACGATTTTGATAAAATACTTATATATGAAATTTCATCAACCTAGCTGTAACGGTACTCAAGTTATCGTGTTTACACACACACACACAGACAGACAGACACACAGACAAGATTGCAAAATTATGTTTTTCCGTATCAGTGAGATGTAAAACGTCACACAAATCTCGATTTTTTTTTGCACGATTACAATACTTTCTCTATACTTCGTATATACGAGAAAGTAAAAAGCTAAATCTAGTGCATATTCAATATTCCAAATTTGGATTTTTTTTCAAGTTTTGACAAAAGTAAATTATCAAAAATTAAAACAAAAATTCATAAAGAAATAAGCCCAATGTTTTTGTGTGTTTTGGTTGTGTTGATAATAAAATACGTTCACTGTAGGTAGGTGAACGTGAAGCGGGGAATAAAATACGCTAAAATGGAGTTTTACCTAATAGTCTAATAGATAACTAGTCTAGTCTACTCTAGGCCCTAATTAGGCCTACTAATTATAATATTTAGAATTTAGGCCTTAGGCCTATTTTACAAAATTTAATTTAACAGATAATTGAATAACAAATCACTAATCTCAATCAGGGAACAAACCAATCAAAAACATTGTGGCATTAAGATTAACTACTTAGAATAAAGATCTCTAGTAACTTTTAATTTTAACAAATGAAAATGGTGTTTGAAATAAATTACAAATCGTTAAATATGAATCCTAATGGCAGTAGTAAATTAGTTTTAGTATCATATCATTTTTATCATCATGAATAATCATTAATCATGGCAATGGCCTCTGGGGATTTATTTTCAATATTTTTGCGACTGCGCTGTTAAGGCGGCTTAGTTAAGCCTGTTATTTATTATTATTTAATTTATTAGCTGTTAGAATTAGTCTAGATCTAACCTACTTAGAATCTGAAATATAGATCTAGATCTAGATTAGATCTTGATTTAGAAATGGAATCTAGCTTCTAGATCTAGACTAGATCTAGTAGCTAGCGTTAGACTGTCTAGAGAATGATTTTAAAAATAATGCGGTGTTGACATCAATGAAGTTTTGTTTTTAATCTCGCGGTAAAAAGTTTAAAAAGGTATGCAAGAATAGATAACTCATGTAAACACTTGTTTGTTTACGGAAATAGACCAAAGCCGTAATGTAGATATGTTGGTAATGTTGAGTTAAATATCTTTATTATCTTCTTGTGAAAACAGTTTCTTATTTTAATAGATCAACATCTCTAATGCCACATAAGAGTAATGGGGAAAATTGAGTGGGCAATGTGGGCTAATGAGCACGCATTAGCAAGCAGTTTTGGTATGTCCGTGTGCACTCTTTAATTAACTTTAGACGGTAATCTATCGTTTTAGGTACGTAAAATCGCCCGCGACTAGTAAAGTGAAAAACAGGTGACTCCTTAAATTTTAATAATTATTTCACATTTTGAGGAGGATTTATGTTTTGAAAAATACAGAAATGTTTCCTTGTTTCATTTAATAAATGATTTATGTACCTGTTTTCAAACAATTGAATTAAAACTTTTCAGTAATAAATGAAGACGAGCGATGTTTCCAACAGATGCAACCATGCTCATTTACTATAGCAGCCATCTTGTTTAAGTTCTTTCTACGTTAACTTATAGCGGGAGATTCAGGGGAAGGCAACTCTATTTTACAAATGGCTGCTGTTTATATAGTATATATGAAATCCTGCTCACAAACACTGCTGTTAAAAGTTAATTTCTTGTCTATATTGATATACTTAGCTATTGATTTAGGTTTATTTTTCATTTCTATAATATTTGACACAAATATATGAAAATATACTTTTAAAAGCCTTGACAATGAGGTAACTTTTTCGTACATTACTAGCCGCGGGCAATTTTACGTACCCAAAACGATAGATTACCCTTTAGACTTTAGGTAATCTATCGTTTTAGGTAGGTACGTAAAATCGCGCGCGACTAGTAATGTACGAAAAAGTTACCTCATTGTCAAGGCTTTTATACATAAATGAAACAAGGAAACATTTTTGTATTTTTCAAAACAAATCCATCTCAAAATGTGAAATAATTAATTAATTATTAAAATTTAAGGAGTCACCTGTTTTTCACATTACTAGTCGCGGGCGATTTTACGTACCTAAAATGATAGATTACCTAACTTTATTACTTTAACAATAAGTTTAGTTAACTCATTCTTTAGTCATTATTACTATTAGTTATAATAGTTATATTATTAGTCTTTACTCTTTACTTTACTCTTTAATTAGGCCTAATTAATAATACGAAGTGTCTACTCGGAATAAGATTTTTCGGCAAAAGATAGTTCTGCGCATGCGCAGTGACCTATGGCTAGGGTTAGGGCTAGAATGAGGGTTAGGGGTAGGATTAGGGATAGGGTTAGTTAGGGATAGGATTAGGGCTAGGGTTAGGGATAGGATTAGGGCTAGGGTTAGGGATAGGATTAGGGCTAGGGTTAGGGTTAGGATTAGGGATAGGGTTAAGGATCGGATTAGGGTTGGTATTAAGGTTCTGCTGTTGTAAACACACGCATGCGCAGTACCATCGAAAACATCGCCGCTAAGTCGTAGTTTCTCTCCATTGCGCATGCGTATCTTATTCCGACTAGAATCGGCCTTAATAATATTAGTATTACTATTAGCTAGTGTATTAGAGCTCAACTTGGCTGATTTCATTGCTGTTACTCAGATGATAAATGAATATCCCCTTATATCATATTAGCCCCATTAGGCCTATGTATTATATTATTTTTGTAACACTAATGTAGATTTACTGCATATAAAATAAATATCAGACAACATACTATTAAAATTAGTATTAGAGTTTTGCTATTAACACAATATTCATTATTAGCCTATATTTAGAATTTGCTTTTATTTTTTTACAGTAATGGCTTTAGATGGCATCCTAGCAGTTGCAGGACAATTTAAATTGTGGGAAATCGGTGCTTATGCAATGTATCCTTTACACTTTAAATTCAAAGTATACCTATGGCCAATGCCTAATGACTTCCAAAATCAAGGGTTTTTATAGGCCTACATGTAAACGAAATAGTAAATGTAACCATGTCTTATCTTCATCATTAAAAACAAACTAATTATAATCTTTAATAATAAAAGTGTTTTGTTTGCTGCATATACATAAGTCCTCAAATGTAGATTTATTTTCTTAACACCTTACAAGTGCAGCTGGAATTTTTACATTTATTTTAGAATATCCAAGAGGGAAGAGATCACATGGGACATCTCACCCAAGGAGGTGGTGTACTTTATTTATTGCTTGATCATTAGTATTTGTCCTTATAAATTATTTAATAAATGACCCCATATATAAATCAATCAGAAAATAATGTCTAACATAGACAAGATCAGACAAAAAACTGGTGATATCTTAGTGTTTTTATTAACACCATACTGTAACTTGCATTAAAGTTAATTTATGAAATGGTTTCCTGTGATATATTTTGTTTAAAATTTTTAAACAAAGATTTTTTAACAGTAAATATAGAAAATTCCTTTGTATTTTTAAACCTTTCAACCAGACACCAGACCTTTTTTGGTTCATGAGATTTCATAATGTGGACATAGTAAATGGTTTCTTAGGTAATCTGATGTTGCATATAGACTTAATCATACAGGAAGAAATGCTGCAATTTTCTCATTTGCTTTACATTTCTATATTAAAAGATTGAAGATTCTGTAATTTTTTTGTACAAGTATTATGCTTCTTTTTCTTTTCAGATTCCAGTATCCATTTGCTCTTATTGTTAGACAAGGCAGGCTACTGACCCGCAACTATTTTGTTAGATTTGTCTTTTATTTAGCGTAAGTATAAGAAGAAATTTATAATTAAAATTTGTTTTACATAGAAAATATATCAAAATAGTGTGCAAAAATGTTATAAGTATCAAAGTATAAGCTTATAATTTTTTATTGTATTAAAAAATATTCTGTTGAAATACAATGCTTTAAAAAACTTATTTTAAAAAATATTTATATTTTTGGGAAGTAGAGAGCAGTAATACCCTGTCAAAGAGTCAGGATATATCTAGTTTTCAGATAGAAAATTGGTTTGGCACTTTATTGGCTACACAAGCCTTTGCATAAAACTTGTGCTAGTAAATTCCAAATAGGGTGTTTTTAATTTCCATATAATAATCATTTTTTATATATTATAGCTTTCATTTGAAATTTAACCATTGCATGACTTGGTTAAATAAGTATAATAGTATATAATATACCATTCAATGTTTTCAGCATTGCTGTTCCATGTTGTTTTATGCTGCCAACTTTACTGGGAGCCCTTTGCTACATGTTAACAAGTTTTATTTATTTAGTTGTGAGTATATGCAACCATTGTAGATACATGTAATATTTAGTTGTAAATATTTGCAACTCTTTTTTTTTTTAAGCATCATTTATGTAGTTGTTAGTATATGTAACCACTGTAGTTACATGTAATGTTGTAGTTACGTGTAAATATTTGCAATGTTTTTTTATTAAGCATAATTTATTTAGTAAGTATATAAGTATATGCTACCATTAAGTTAATAAAATAAATTCTTAACAAAAAAAAAACAGTCCCAGGACATACTAAAATTGTTAACTTTAAATTATATTATTATAAAAAAAATATTTAAGGCAGAAATCTTTTAAACTTTCAGGCTGGGATTAAAGGTGAAGAATGGCTACTCATTGAACCTGAGAAGAAATCAGAGGGCCCAAAAATCATTGAAGCTCCTACAAGACCTCCACCAAGAACTCCAGACATCTCCCATAGACAGGCAGTATTGACAGTGGGCAGTCAAAACAGAGTCTAATAACTAATGATATGGTTCATTTGATAATTACTTGTCCTGATATATGATTGAAAAATGTTAAAATGTTTGGCTTAACCCCCTTCCTTCTCAGATATTATAATTAAAATATTGTCTTTACATCTTCATTTTCTAGTAACTATAATCAAAGAAAAAAACAGTTGAGCTCTTCATGAGATTTTAAAACTTTTAACATAAATATTACCCTCTTTTCGTTCTAGAGGTATTGAGGGTGAAGTTGAATACAGTCTTAACATAATTTATACATTTCACTATGCATGCTTTTTAATGTTTATTGAAAAGTATTTATTCATATCATATGTATAAATAAAAACTTTTGCCATATATTCACTGTGATACTGTCTACACATTTATCAAATGTTAGAAAAATTGCATTAGCTGAAGTTTAATTGTTAACAAAAAAGAGAAGAAATCCCAGGATTAATTTATTGTGCTATTATTTTTTCTTTCATTATTTTGTATGAATTATTTTTATATAAAAAGAGTAAATTATTTGCGGTGTAGTTTCTTATATTTTTGTAATAAACTTGTTTTTTAAAAAATGAAATCAGCAGATGTTTTGATTATTGTTCTTGGTGGGATATTAGTAATTTATACACCTTATCAGCATAATACTGAGCCCAAACCACAGTGATAGGATTGTTTAGCACTGTGTAGGTAAATAAAGTGGCATACTAAGCACACTTTCAACTTGTATAGAATGAAATGATGATTTACATTCCATTTTTTGTGCCTTACACCTTTTTTATACAAATGAACAAATTCTGCACTTATTGTTTTTATGATGTAACATGGGAAGCATTGAACAGTGATTTAAAAATTGACTTGAAGCGAAAAGTATTGTGGGTCATTTTTAATTATTGTATTCAAGACATAGCAACTAATCAATGTTTGATATACTTTATTGCAATTATTGATGACATATTTAACAATATATAATAAATAATACCACAGTTTTTTATTATTTCTTATTATTCTTATTGAATTTCTGTTGAGTTTTGTGTATGTGTTATATTTTGAGGTGAATGGGGTCACAGAGAGGTGTCAGTGATCTGCTCTTAATTGGAAAACTTTATTTAAGAAATTATAGTTATTACACAATTACCATGTTTTAAAAAAATATTTAACTAGCAGTAACTTCAATAACTTGATTCTACTATTACTAGGATTAGTAGAAACAATCCTAATCCTGAATTTAACTGCAACCATATATTGCAAAGATGATCTGCAATAATGTTATATGCCATTAAAAGATACCATCTCAAAAAGAATATTATTTGTTTTTAATTTGATTTCCAGTGAGATTAGAAGCACATAACACAACCAAAAAGTAAAATGCAAAAAGATAATATTTATTTATTTAATGTTCCTATTGTTGAGATAAGAATAATACTTATGTGTGAATTCATTTTAGGTGTGTACTGATGTGTTATTGTGGGCGAGGGGAGTGTAAAAGTCAGCAAAAATGTATGACGTCTTTTATAAATGGCTCCTTTATAGGCTAATTATTAAGTAACTTAGTTAGGACTATAAAAACCTAGCCTTTTCTATTACTTATCAATGAAATTAGCGCTACCCGTTATACGGGGAACTTTAAAGCAAACATCCATTTAAAAATATGAATATCAATTTTTAAAACTACTTAATGCATAATTTTTAAAGCTGCGAAAAAAATTCGGTAGCGGAATTATAATATAAATAGTAACATAAAAACACGATACCAAATACATAAACTAACGCCCACTTCCGGCATAACAAACCCCGGAAAAGAAGTGTAATATTTATTTTTGAGATAATCTATATTATATCTAGTCTATATAGAGTAGATCTATAATATTAATAATAGTTTAAATAAATTGAATAAAGGTCCAGCCTCATAATCCTAATAATAATGTGTATGCCCGATGTTTGTCACGAAAGTTATAAACTAAAGCGACTAGGGCTAGGCTAGGTGTGTCACTGTCAATGAATTTACTACTTTTACACTTTACTGGTGACTTTACTGTCATCAGTGTGTACGTGTTGTAGTGTGTATCAGTGTAGTGTACTGACGTCTGTAGTGTTAAGTGTTTAATTAAAGTTTAGTTAGTGTAGTCAGTGTAGTGTGTGTGACCTGTGTAATACAAAATTTGTATTCATCATGCAAATCTGTAATGACACACAATGTGTAGTATTGTGTAGGAGTAGGACAGTGTTGAATATTGAGTCAATATGAATATTGACATTGTATCATTGTTGATGAGTTTTGTGTACTGAACTGTACTGTTAACTGCTTTAGTGTTGGCTCTAGACTAGACTAACTCTAGACCTAGACTAGACTAAGTCTAGCTCAAGTCTAGTAGACGGCTAACTCAGTACCTGTGTGACTTTTGTAACTCTCTGTCTATTAGTATTATTAGGCCTACTATTATACTGGCAAAACATAGATTATTTTATTTAAACACTTGCATGTTACTGTTATCAACAAATTTTTTTCTTTGCCATCTAGACAGCTTTTTGTCAGTGACTTGGACACATGGGGTTGACTTCTTGAGTAGGCCTATCTAGTACTTATTAGTACTATCTACAAAACCTCTTTGATTTGTGTAAGTTAATTATCATCTAGAGATCTAAAGCTTTTAAGTAAGTTGAGAACTTTGTAATAATGCAATTGTTGCAGTTATTATGTACCTAACATGTATTGTTTTGGAGTTACTGCTGCTCTGAGAGTTAACAAACTGAGAGCATGTAAATAAATATCTCCAATTAAATCTAAATAATTCCTGTTATAAATGCATTTCTTATGACCTTGGTTTTCTTAGGTGACTTACTGTATTAGTTCTCAGTTACATGAAGCAGGAATATATATTTTATTAATCATATTTTGATATTTGATAATCAGCATAACAATAACTCATTAATTCTCACATATAATGACATAATAATCATCACAAATTATGTAAATTTGAAACGCAACAAATTTAAGCAAACTGATTATTCGTTTATATTTTTTTTTTCATTCAGTTGGCTACTTGAGAACTTACAGTCTATAAAATGGCACCAAAATGTCCTCCACCTTTGGTTACTGGGGTGTCTCCTAAGGAAGGACCACCTGGAACAAGAATCACTATCAGGGGAGAAAACCTTGGGAATGATCCAAGGGACCTAATTGGTATGTCTCATTTTGCTGTGTTGAAATGGTAACCAATTAAAATTTTGTGGTTTATAACAGTGACACATCACCTTTGAAGACAGCTTAAAATTAAATTGAAGAATATAGCATACCAATTTACAGACTACCTGAAAACAAAGACATAAATAGATCTTTTGATTTAGTTTACGTGCACAAAAACTCTTCTCCACCTGGTACACTCACTAATTAATAATTGTGTAACCGTGAATTATTCTGATTAGTTTTTAATGTAAATTTGAATGAAATGCTAATTATTATTTAACAATACAAGTTTAAAGATTTATATTTATCCCTGGTTTACCATTGTTAAAATTGCAATAATAACCATGATTAAATGTATTTATAACATTCCTAGGCTTGAAGATCTGTGAAATGGACTGCCTTTTGTCTGCTGAATGGAAGTCCTCTAGTAAGATCATAGCTCGCACTGGCCCAGGCAAGGGGAAAGGGGACATCATTGCCATCACAAGATCTGGGGGCAAAGGAAGCTGTACTGTAGGGTTTAGAGGATATTTTCTACAGACAGGTCAGTTTAGTAGTTTAGTGGTAATCTTAATCTTAAATTAACTCAATAACAATTTTGTTTTGTTAACTTAATAGTATAGTTTTATAGTTGTTTCTTACACACATTTTTTTCTTGTAGATCTGGTACATCTTTTAATTTATTTCTTTACAAATTTTTACATTATAATTTTTTTACAGACTTTTTCAAGCCAAGCAATTTTTGCATCAATGTGACTTCTATTTATGTTTTGTTGAATCTCATCCAGGTCCACTTCAAGAATCAGCTGTTTGGGTGGATGAATCTCTGACTGTACGACCAAACTTGGATCATGGGAGACCTACTGCATCCATTGCTGCCAAAGAAGAAGAAGATCCACTAGGGATTTTGGACGAAGGGGATAAGTAAGTATGCTGATTAAAGCTTGCATTTTAATTTGTTTTACCAGCGACATGACTTTACAATTCTCAAAGTAAAATTTTTTATAAATTGCTTTCAGGGTGAAGTTGACTGAAGAAGAACTGCTGGAAATGTTTCAAGATGGTGAACATTTTTTAGATAAAATATTTAGATAAAAACATAGCTTCATTATTTATTGAGGGGTTTATAGCTTTAGATACTGTGTCCATTGTTACTGTTACAATTTTTTGGTGTGTATTTTTAACTGAAAGTGTTCTCTGATTCTTTCCAGGATCTGGGAATATGTCTCTGGAAAACTTTTCACCTGGTTGGTACCTGCTGGAGCATCACCAGAACGCCAGGTATTTTTATGTGATATTTCAGTGTTGGAACATTAACCTTCAACCATAGCATCAGACTTGAGGGAACGGCGTAGCCTAGCGGTAGAGCACTAGACTGCTAACCCGAAAGTCTTGAGTTTGAATCCGGGTTCAAGACACTAGAACATCCCTTAGTCCACCAGCTGTAATGGGTAGCTAACTCACATTAAGGAAAGTAAAAGCATCTGGGCATAGAGCTGAATTCTACTTGACTTGCCCATGGAACTTCAGGTTTGAAAAGGGAACTTTACTTTATACCATAAGACTTGTTGCAGGATTTTTCCAACGTCCTTTTTCTACTTAAAATCAACAATGATTTTTTATATGTTTTGTATCAGATTATAATTGTTATATAAATCAATGGCAGAAACCCTAAAGAGATTTATTTCCCATGAATTTTGATCCAGCTTTGAAGATCTGAAGGCTGGATTGAGTTACATGAAAAGAAAAGCAAGCCAAAGGTCAGAGGGTCCCATCACAATTGTCAGATCCAACCTCACCTCCATTTTAGACTGCCTTGATAGCCTATCTTGTGAGTTTCAGTGTTCTTTTACAGAAGATTTTCTTTTTTGTCAATCATGTATCCTACTGTTTGTACTGGTGTAATCATGAATTGAGTTGTGAATTATTTTTTAAAATGTTATTTGTCTTCTTTAAAGCTATAGCATAACCATGTTATGTCTTGTAATAACTGCTCATTTGGTAAGTACATATTAGTTAAACATGAGATGTTTTTTTTCCTTTGATAGCTATGTATGAGAAATACAGTGAGGATGATATACGAGGCAATTGTATGAACTCATATGCTGTCCTTCTGATGCGTAAGTCTGTTTTTATGTTTTATCAGTATCTATAAAATCACCAATAGAGCTCATTAAGTTTTTTTTATGTGCTAGTGTAGATAACCTAATCATAGCCATGAATCTTTGCATAATTTTAGCATCAATGTTGACGGAAAGAAAACATTATGCAATACTTTATTTCTATACCCACATTTTATAACTACAATAAGGTCACATAAAAAAAAATAATTTTGTGATCATTTTTTCTTTAAGTTCATTTAAAGATGAACTCCTTTTTTTAATCTGAAAATTTTGTTTTCTAGAGGCAAAATCCTGTGCTGATGGCCTTTTTCAAGAAGTTCTTGGTCGGAAAGATAAAGCAGATTCGACTAGAAATGCACTGAGTGTTATTCAAAAATTCAGATTCCTTTTTCACTTGCCTTTGAACATTCAGCGAAATATACAAAAGGTAAACTTTATTAGATGTAGGTTGTCTAAAAAGAATTGTTTGAAAATGCTTAAAAAGTAATCAGAATATTTGTTTCATAGTTAAAAATTAAAACAGTTCTTCTTCCTAAATAAGTAATTATATTATTTTCTTAAACAAATCATTGGTGTACATGCAGAGATTTAAATTATTTTTTTTTAAATTAAGGGAGATTACAACATGGTCATCAATGACTATGAAAAAGCCAAGTCACTCTTTGCTGACACTGAAATCAAAGTCTTTAAAAAGGGTAAGTAGCTCCAAATTATTGAAAAAAAAACCCCCAAACATTAACACTTAAGATAGTAAATTTAGGATTTATGGCTAAACCAACTAAAACTGATGAGAAAGAAAATTTTAAATAATGTACTTATTTTTGTATTGCTCCACCTGCCTAGTGTACAGAGATGTGGAGCGCAGGATCACAAACTTTAGAGACATGCTGTACAAGAGACTGAAAGACCCCAACAACACACTAGATGAACAGAAGAAACTCATCAGGTTTTTATACTATTCATTTTTTCTGGCTTCTCAAATAAGAAAATTATATGAAAATTACATTAGCAAATTTTTTAAAGCAGATATAAGCACTGACTTAAATAAGAAAATTTACATGAAAATTATATTAGCTGTAGTATTTTTTTTTTTTTAAAAAAGCAGATACAAGCATTGAAACTTAACAAAAGTTGTTTCAATAAAGCTCTTTCAGTCATTTTAAAAAAGTAAGAAACCTATTACTGTGTTTGTACACACAGATTAGATGTGTAGGCAGGTAATGTCTAACATATGATGTGACAGCTGCTAACATACCTTGCAGGTACCTGGTGAGCCTAGAACACAAAGGTGACCCTGCGTGGGAATGTCTGGATAACCAGCAGAAGTGGTTGATTGAGCTACTGGATGATTGTAAGGATGATCACATAGAAGAAGGTACAAACTTTTTAGGGGAGGAAAGGATAATCTGCCCACATTGTTTTTGTAAATGATGTAAATTTAATTAAATTTAACAAGATCTGGTTACCAATGTTGAATAATATAAAACAGATATTCATCTTTGTTGTTAGAAGTTTATTTAGATACATTGCTTTAAATAGTAATAGCATGTTTAAAGATTTATTTAAATTTTATTTAAACTTTAGCTTTTGCTATCAGTATGTTTGAGGCAATTGAATCTTAATGTTTTGTTTTAATTCTCAGAAAAAAACAGCCTCCAGGAATCTTTATCCTCTTCACAGAACACCAATCACTGGAGGCCTAAAAATCATCTCAACAAATCCCCAACTAAATCAGGTGATCTTTTACTTTAAGATTCTTTCTGACTCTAAATCAGGTGATTTTTTACTTCAAGGTTCTATCTGACACTAAATCAGGTGATCTTTTACTAAAAGATTCTACCTTACAGTAAATCAGTGATGTTTTACTATAAAATTTTACCTTACAAATAAGTCAGGTGATCTTTTACCTTAAGATTTTACCTTATACTAAATCAGGTGATCTTTTACTTTAAGATTTTACCTTATACTAAATCAGGTGATCTTTTACTTTAAGATCCCTTATACTAAGTCAGGTGATCTTTTACTTTAAGATTTTACCTTATAATAAATCAGGTGATCTTTTAGTTTAAGATTTTACCTTATACTTAATCAGGTGATCTTTTGCTTAAAAAATGAAAAAACTCTCCGAATAATTTTTGTTATTTATCGTGTTTCATCCAGGTCGTTAGCCCATCTTTTTAAAAAGTTTATAAAATAATTGAAATCCAATTTTCTCAAGTATAATGTGTCAGGATGTTTCTAGCTAAACTATCATAAATGTATTCATTGATATGTCTCTCAATGTTTCTAGCTAAACTATTATAAATGTATTCATTGATATGTCTCTCAGGTTTGTCAAGAGAGTCAAGCTTCTCATCCATTTCTTCAGCTGACCACCACAGTAAGACTTTTTGCTTTAATGCATTCGCTGACATCTTATTTTGATCGAGTTTTTTTTGTAACTTTATATAGCTATTAAAAATTAATAATAAAAAGTTGATGAAGATAGAAACATGACTTTTACCTAGCATTATCTTCTTCTTCTTGGTTCTTAATTGTAATGTTGAATGAGAGTTCCTCCAACACAATTCAGGATTACATGTCAACATGTTAGATGCCGTATGGCCTGTTTTCTCCATGTTCAGCCTGCTTTTCTTTCTGGATTTGCTTTCTGGATTTGCTTTGTGGATTTGCTTTCTGGATTTGCTTTCATAACCTTTGTCCCTTCAAGCACAAACAAGGAGGCAGCAATTGTTTGATTTTGGAGTTTTCTCTCCTAGATGGGTTGCTGTCCACAGCTATTAAGCTTCATCTTCCCAAGGGTTCGAACTTGAGACTTTTCAGTTTAGTATCCATGAGCTTTACGGGCTCATCCATGCCTACCACTTCTAACACTAAAACTGGCACTGTCTGAGAACTGACTTATTTTTCCCAATTCTTTTTTTGTCATTATATCTTAAAGAAGTATTCTGATTATGAATGTTCTTTACATAAGTGTGCGGTGCTCCTACAGGTTCATGGAGGTTTAAAACCCCCCAGAAAGTTTTGTTTGTGGAAGACATCACTGACATCATGCTCCAACACTTCCCTGATTACTGGAGGCTGGGCCAGAGCTACTTCACAAGGGAGGTCAGTCTAAAGTTTTTTTTTAAAAAATATATTTTATTTGAAGAAAAAAAACAACAGTTTTCTTTCAGCTTTAAGTAAAAACACCTTGAAATTTATCTAAATGCTTGTTTGTTTTTTGAAAAGAATTATTTTATTATTTAAATTAAAGATTATTATTAAAAATTTAAGAAATAAACTTTGGCAAAGACCTAGATACAATATACATTTAGTTTTATCACTAAGCTACTTTTTATATTAAATAAGAAACACATGTTTTATAAAGAATGGTACAGCTAGAAAGCTAGAAAGTTGTTTAAGGTTAATTGTGTCTGAAGTATTCTCTCACCAAACCTACATTTTATTTTTCCATCATTATGTTTAGAAATCTGAGAAAGGTGTAAAAATTGACACCAGTAAGCATGGAAAGATGAAGGTAGGTGTTGACTAGAAACTTTATGATTGCTTTTGCTTTAACATTGAAAAAAAAAGAGAAACAAAAAAACACTCAATAAACGTAATAAACCGGGAGTGATCTCTCCTAAACTTTCTCAAATATTCCATATCAACTTTTGAGCGATTTCCGATATTCTATTTTTAAAAGTGTAAGTATTTAAAATGGATTGAAAATCATGTCTATATCCTGAGTTGCCATCCCCTGTTGTTTTATATAAGGATATTTGAGAAAGTTTAGGGAAGATCACTCCCTGTATATTTAAAATTAATTTTAAAATTTCTTTTCATCAAAACAGTGATAAAAAAATCATTGTAATTGTAGATAAAAATCTTCTTCAATAATTCATCTTGGTCTATTAATTTGGGGTAGAATGTAAAAATGATGTTATGAGTAATTATTAAAAAAAAAAAAATGGAGGATATAGATAGAAAATGTTTAGATCTCAAAGCATCATATAATTTTTTGTTAATTTAAACTTCAACTTACTTTGTTTTGTCATATACTTTTCTGATTTTTTTTATTAATACAGGTAGACTGTACAAATTATTAATTGTTATCTCCCCTAGCAAATGATGACTGAAGTTATCACCCTGTTTTCTAATTATGTAAGAGCTGCCTTCCTGCCAGAGTCCCTGGAAAACTTACCTGAGAACGAGCGAGTTAAGTTTGGGGTTTGGCCCTCATCAGGCAAACAGGACCATGTGTCGGGAGCGTGGCTCCCCACCTGTGTAAGAAATATCAGGTAGTAAAAGTGTTTAGGTGAGATTAACATAATATTTTGTTAATTGAGTTTTAAACTTTTTGATCTGTGTACAGTTGTTTGACTGCATTTTATCAAGCTGTCTTTTTAGAGAAATTGATTTCAATCCACTTGTTTAAATTTTTTGGGGACCAGGTTTTTGATAATAAATCTTTACATACTGTTCAAACACTATATCAGCCCTAAACAATCGCTTCCCTTAAGAGTATTACAATAATTTTAATGGATTGTATTTTTATACCCACTGTATCAGCCCTTAGATCAGTGGTCTTCAACCTTTTTGGAGGTACCAAACCCTACCAGTTTTATATGAGTATTCTCCGAACCCTTGTTATAGTTCTATCGTCCGCACTGACAAAATCCGATTGTGAATTTTATGAGTCTGGTGTGTGTCATAACCTCCACCGAACCCCTGGGGTTTGATTGAACCCAAGATAAGAACCAATGCCTTACATGGTCCCTTCCATAGATTTTATTTCAACCTGTTTTTATTTTAAATCCCAGAAATTGTTCCAACACTTTATCAGCCCTAGATGGGCACGGTGACGCCATGATTGTCCTCAACGAGCTGGCATTTGACATGAGGACCAACTGCATGTTTACCCTACTCAAACAGGCCATAATAGGTTTGCTGTTGTTTTTTGTTTTTTTTTTTTTTTTTGGTGACACATTTTATTTCTGGGACATTTTTAAATTGTGACGTTTTATCTTAGTAAATGTTTTATCTTAGTAAATGTTTACAACAGTATTTGAATTATGGCTTGTTGAAGTGTCCAGTGCTTATTACATCCTTGGCTGTATTGTCTAGGTATTGGTGACACAGTGACGTGACGACTGACATTATGCCATGACACATGACAGTTGACAAAAACCACTGCTAAAGATATTGATAATACTGGTGAACACAATAGCCTTAAAGCTATTAAATGCTTTGACGTGAAGAATTTGAAAATATAAAATCAACTTTTTATAATGGTGTGGTAAAACTTTTTATAATGGTGTGGTAAAATTCCCATACATAATTTACTTCTAATTTTAAAAACAAACCATTTTAACCTATCCTTACAGATGTCAAATCTTTGCATACCAAGGAAACATGGGTAGTTGAGACAGATGATGAGTCAGGGGGAACAACTCAGCTGGTAATTATAATTGTCTCCCATATCATCAGTAGCATAAAGAATGATTTTATTATGGACTGTTACAATGACTTATTTACTTGATTATAGACTTACAATGACTTACTTCATCATTCTCAGCCTGCCCTGTTTGAAAACATTGTGAATGAAACAATACAGCATCTGCATGAGGTTGTGGTCATGAACAAAGCCCCCGAACCTGAGGTGAGATCATTTCCTAATCAATCAACTGGTAATCTTGTTAGTGTTGGCGTTGAATGGTGAATGGTCAGTTACTAGTATCACAGGTGTTGCAGGTAGGGGTTTGTTAGAACACACATGGACCCCATAAATGAAAGCTGTGTCACATTAATCTACAATTAATTGCTTCAATGTGCTAGTTTAGCTTTTTGTTTTCTAATGTTAAATATCAATATAAAAAAATGTTATTTCATAATTATTTGTTTGTATATAATTGTGTATATTTGTATATGTAAATATATATATATATATATATATATATATATATATATATATATATATATATATATATATATATATATATATATATATATATATATATATATATGTATATATATATGTATATATATATGTATATATATATGTATATATATATGTATATATATATATATATGTATATATATATATATGTATATATATATATATGTATATATATATATGTATATATATATGTATATATATCTGGATAGAAATTAATTTTTTAAAACTTTGGCAACAAAATTGTGGCAAAGACTTGCATCTTAGTGAAATCTCTGTGGTAGTGTTTTATAGCCTTGTTGTCCACTTAGTCATATAATATTTATACAAAATATTTTATGAATAAAATATTTTTTTGTACCTCACAGATATTTAGCCAGCGACCAATCCAAAAAGAGGCCACAGCATTATGCAGTCAGTTGCTGCAAGCCTTCTCTGTCTGTATGGAGCAGTTAGTTTTTAGCCCACCTCTACAGAAGACAGAAACCAAACAGTAAGTTTTGGATTGTTTTGTTGTATACAACATTGTGTATGGAGCAGTTAGTTTTTAGTCCACTTCTACAGAAGACAGAAACCAAACAGTAAGTTTTGGATTGTTTTGTTGTATACAACTTTGTGTATGGAGCAGTTGATCCAACTTATAAATAACTTTGTTGACATTGTATCCACAGTAACGTGAAAATTCTGATTGGACAAGACATAGAACTAGAGCAACATGAAGATCCTATTCCATCCATGGTTAGTATCATTTTAGCTTTATTAAAAAAAACAAGTTAATAAAAAGTCTAGTGACAATTTAAGCGCAATTTCCTTAATTAATTTTTTGTGACCGAACGAAAGGATATTTTTGAAAACTTTCTTTGGCAATATTGTTCTAAATTATGGCAGGAATCGATAGGTAAATGTTTCAAGTCGCTAAGTGGTCTGGTTGCCGAGATATGGGCCAAAAACTGCATTTTTTCGAGGTTTTTTGGCTTTTCCGGGAAATCCAGGAAGGAATTCCGGGAATTTTTTTGGCCCACAATCATCCTCGGAACTTGCTTAACATATTTGCTTTGGAACTAGTCCTCGATATTGCTTCGTTGAGGAGGAGATACGACTTAAAGTTGTGGACACACATCCATCCAGAACGAATTAATAATCGCAATTGTCAGTATGGAAATTGCGCTAACAACAGAACATTAAAGCAGCCATTTTCAATATTTTGGCCCTGTAAACCACCCCCCCCCCATTAAAAACACCCAAAAATACTTGGCACTTCCTTCCTATATACCCCTTTATCACATAAAATGTATGCTTTTTTTAAATGATTTTATTACTTTTACACAATGCATTATTAACAATTGCACATGGACTACCAGGTTTCAGGCAGCAACTTAGATTTTTATTTAACTAAAAATAGTTTTTAAAAAAAAGCAACACTAAAGAATAGGTAGGGTGCGAGCTGTGACATGGCTTAGCACAGACCAATTTTTTTTTTTTTTTTGATTGAACACAGGACAAAAGGCTGATCATTATGCTGAGTAATTGTAGCCACACATTGAACCACGTCATACCTCGCACCATTGAAAACCTCACCAAGCACGGCTATGTCCAGATGGAGAAGGCACTCAAGGTATGTCCAACTTGCCTTAAAATTGTGTCCACACTGTCTATGTTCTTCAAGGGATGCGTCTGAATCTTACCATTAAATTGATCCCACACCATCCATTTTCTTCATGTGTTGATTCCATTGTGCATAAGTCAGAAGAGACCTTTACCTTGAGGCATTTTATTATACATTTTTTTTACTGGCTTTAAATATTTTATGGGATAATGTTGAATAGTGGTAGAACATTTGGTTGATAACCCTATTTGTAAGCCATGAGCTTGATTCTCAAAGCAGAGCTTTCTGGACACCCAGCTTGGGTGAGCAGTTTACATGATTCTGATGGCAGACACAGTGGAAGTTCTGACCACTCAAAAACAGATGAGCTCTTCTTCATCTGCCCTTTGGAATGTTGTATCTGAAAGATTTTACTTTTAAGACACACAGATTACATTTTGTTCTATTTCAGGCTTCATAAGATTCCTACAGTGACCTACTTTTTAATTTAAAAAAATATATATTTGGTTCTATTTCAGGTTGCACAAGATTCCTTCATTGACTTACTTTTTAATGTTCTATTCCAGGCTGCCCAAGATTCCTACAGTGACCTGGACAACCGTTTGTTTTCCAGCTACATTGAGCAGAAGTCTGACCCCATCCTGGGGGTCATGGAGCCCAACATGTATAGGGGGGGCTTCAACTGGAAGACCTGGAAAAACCCCACGGGGGTCCGCAACTATCTGAAGGAAATCATCATGAGCCTCACTGAAGTTCATGCTGAGGTATTCAGTTTATGTGGGTGTTCATCAGGATGAGGGTTAGGGTTAGGTTTTGATTTAGATTTTCCGTATGCAGTTTGTTATGGGGTAGTCGCTTGAGAAATCCGAGATCAATTTCAGTGTAATATTATGTTAAGTTAAGGTCCCTTATATAGTCTGGCTGTAAATTAACTGAAAAATAAGGTGTGGGTGGAATGCAAATTAAAAAAAATATTATTTGTTTACAGTGCGAGAATTATGGATTTTTATGAATAAACATTGTCAAACTTGTCAGTCTTAAAAATGTGTATGTGCTAGACAAAGAAAGTGTAACATATGCGTGTTTTACAAAAATGATAAGTAGTTTAGTTTGACAATCCCAATAAAACCTAACATAAATTTGACGTATATAAAAATACCTATAATATATACTTATACATGGAATTTTATGTACACGCTTATATTGTTATATCTGTTATCTTTAAAAATGATGTACCTAATGTTTTAGATAAATTGAGTTTGTGATGTAATGACACATTACATTAATTTTGTCACCTGGGTTTCCACAGGTGTACAGCATATCCCCCAGGTTTGTGATGAGGGTGATGAAAAAAATCACAGAGGCCGTGTGTGAGGAGGTTTCCAGGCTCATCCAGTGTGTCACAGAGTTCAATGCTTGTGGGGCCATACAGGTGAGTTACTGAGTACAGGTGTGTCAGTGAGTGCAGGTGAGTTACTGAGTACAGGTGTGTGAGGAGGTTTCCAGGCTCATCCAGTGTGTCACAGAGTTCAATGCTTGTGGGGCCATACAGGTGAGTTACTGTGTACAGGTGTGTGAGGAGGTCTCAGGCTCATCCAGTGTGTCACAGAGTTCAATGCTTGTGGGGCCATACAGGTGAGTTACTGTGTACAGGTGTGTACAGATGAGTCAGTGAGTACAGGTGTGTCAGTGAGTACAGGTGTGTCAGTGAGTACAGGTGTGTCAGTGAGTACAGGTGTGTACAGATGAGTCAGTGAGTACAGGTGTGTCAGTGAGTACAGGTGTGTCAGTGAGTACAGGTGTGTCAGTGAGTACAGGTGTGTACAGATGAGTCAGTGAGTACAGGTGTGTCAGTGAGTACAGGTGTGTCAGTGAGTACAGGTGTGTCAGTGAGTACAGGTGTGTCAGTGAGTACAGGTGTGTCAGTGAGTACAGGTGTGTCAGTGAGTACAGGTGTGTCAGTGAGTGCAGGTGTGTACAGATGAGTCAGTGAGTACAGGTGTGTCAGTGAGTACAGGTGTGTCAGTGAGTACAGGTGTGTACAGATGAGTCAGTGAGTACAGGTGTGTCAGTGAGTACAGGTGTGTCAGTGAGTACAGGTGTGTCAGTGAGTACAGGTGTGTCAGTGAGTACAGGTGTGTGAATGAGTGCAGGTGTCTGAGTGAGTGCAGGTGTGTGAGTGAATGAAGGTGAGTACAAGTGAGTCAGTCATTTATTACTTTTGGAACTTTATACATGAATTAGGACACACTACAGTGGAATATACGACTTTCTCAAATTAAAATATTTGAAATAATTAATATAAAAATTATATCCTGTTCTTTATCATACCACAGCTAAATTTTATTTTACTTTCCTAGGCACGACTAGAACTAGAAGCTTTACAAAGCACAGTCAAGATCTACAGTACACCGCATGTACAGTAAGTTGTTTTAACAGAGGTTATGTATATATATCTGGCCGTCCTCTCTTGAGCTACATGATGGTCAGGCTGACCTGGCAGATGATGCCAGTATATCCTGCCATCAGGTGTTGGACAGATGGTGCCATGCAACTCTATCATATCAGAAATTGATAGGTGTGCTGCTCAGCCTTTACACCTGGATTTATCATTGTCCACCATAGCCCAACTATGATGGACTGAATGGGCTAGGGCTGCTACCACACACAAAGTTGACATGCATGTAGGCAACCTCTCTATACGGGGTCCATGTTGTTCCTTAAATACTGTTCAACTGGCATTTTGTATGATTGCTTATTTTAGGTCTTTGGGATAGAATATACTAACATGATTGGTTGTTTTTTTAACTTGACGTTATTTTGTATCAACAGAAATAGTTTTAAAGCTGCTTTAGCCTGTGTTCCAGAATTGTCTGAGGAAGGCAAACAGTAAGTCTGTGTTACAATTTTATGTTAGGGAAATAAAAGAATTTTTATAGTTTTTATACACACCTTAGGGGTTGGCACGGTTGAATCGGTAAAGCTCATGGTTGCTAAAAAGTCTCGAGTTCGAACTCTCGGGCAGATGAGGCTCATTAGCTGGGGACAGCCACTCTTCTAGGAGAGACAATTCCAAAATCAAACAACTGCTACCTTGTAGTTTGACAAAGGTTATGGAAGCAAATCCAAAAAGGAAAACGGGCTGAAATCGGAGTCAATGGCCTCAATGTCACATAACCAGTTGACATGTATACTTAATTGTGTTGGAGGCGTGGTCGAGTCGGCAAAGCTCATGGTTGTTACATTTGAAAATGTCTTGAGTTCAAACCCTCTGGCAGATAAGGCTCGATCCCTTCCAATACTAAAAATTAAGAACGAAGAAGATACACACAGTAGAAAGATACATCACCTGAGTACTGGATGGTGGGTTACCTTACTGAGTTGTTGAGTTGCGCTAGTTGTTATTTTGAGATAGAGTGCTATTTTGTTGTACTGTCATCAGATTACTGTAGAAATAAACCTTCCAATAATAATGTACTTCCAGGGTTGTGGCCCAGCTGTTGGACAAGTTCCGCTCACGGATGAAGATCCAGCTCATGTGCTTCAACCCGGATATATCATCTCCAACAACACTGAAGAAAGCCCAGCTGTCTGTCTCCAAGTGCTAGGCCTGTGACTGTGTGTATTGGACGAACATTGTGTGGCACAGAGCTTCAGTGTGCTTCATCTTGTCAGTTGTACACACTGTGTGTTCAATCTTCAATCTTTGACTGTTGGTTGAATGTCTAACTGTTAGTGGCACAATGCTTCAGTTTGAATGTCTAACTGTTACCGGTACATAGCATCCCAGACTTAAACCTTATCAGACAGTGTTTTCTGCCTGAGCCAAGCCTTTCAACCACAGTGGAGATTGGACAGCTTGGTTATTTAGATATTATGGTCCTGTTTCAAAAGATGAAGAGATTGTATGAAAATCTTGGTGTTTGACTTTAACTGGAGATGAGATTTGTAGAATAATTTTTCTTCTTCTCACGAATGTTATGTTTTCGGACAAGAAAAGTGTAGGCTGTGATGGAATACACGTTTACTTGAGTTTGATCTCTGTGATATTACTATAGACTGATTGAGATGCTTATGATATTTTGGAGTGAACCCAGCTTAATGCGTACCAGTGAATTGTAAGACATCATTGAGTATTAACTGTAATAGTGGATACTTTGCATACATCTCTAGGATATCCCTGAGTGATTTCAGCTCTTATGGGTACCTGGCATGACTGTACAACCTTCAAGATTCCATTCCAGCTCAGACAGCCTGTTGTTATGGCAGAGGAAGTAGAGTTGGCTGAAAATCATACTGGTCGCGCACTACTTAATTACACATAGGCACAAAAAACAGATCTACTCTACATCACCTACAACCATGTCTAACTTAACATTTATAGGATAAGTGTTGCTTCACTGTTTGATGTAGGTATAAAGTCGCTTGCTTCAAATATTTCATATTGCTTTATTTAAAGTTGTAAAGTATTGGTTTGTCGTCATGTTGACATTAAAAACTAACCAGCTGTCTTACTACTTCATCAGTTACTTTGCTTTATAATTTAGTTAATTGGTTTTCACAATGCTGTAGGCCTACACATTTGCTCCTAAAATAATAAAGTAACATAATTCAAGTACAATTAGAGGTTTAGTGAGTGTGATGAATTATTTTTATTGAACTAATTTTTTTTTTTTTGTATTGGCTTGATTTGGTGGGTCATCTTGAAATTGGACCAGCTCCATTATTGCATACAATAGAAATATATAATACTTTCCCTGAACAGCAAATGGTTTCAATAGGTGGTGAACTCTAAATAACTGTTGAGTTGTTTTGCTTACCTGCATGTAAAACAGAGGGCCAGGTGTTCAGGATTTGATAGTCTCTGCACCCAGGTGTACTATTGACATGTTTACCTGCTGTCATCATTGTGAGATTACCTCATGTAATACAGGTGACAAGTTACTAAGTTGAACACATTTTGTTGAAAGGTAGTGAATCATAGGATAGTACTTTTGAATGACTTATTATATTTAAAGGGTACCATAAAGTATGCAATATTCAATATTTGCGACATTCTTGTCAGTTTTTCGTGTGTACATATTTTATAAAGCTTTATTTGCCGTTATAGTTAAAAACTACTTTTGTTTTTCTTATTGTGCAAATTCAAATGTGTGTGGGGGGGGGGGGGGGGGGGGAAAGAGAGGGGGGAATGGGGAGTTGAAAATATCTTCTCTGTCATTATTTTGATTGACCAGGGTTTGATGATTAAATTATTAATTGTAAAACCAAGACCAAGTTTATTTATTGTTTTTTTTTTAAATGTGTATTAAGTTTATTGTGATGTAAAATTTGAAAAAGAAACAAAAGAAAAATTTACAACACACACAGTCTAGTTGATATACTGACGTTAGTAGGATCTCTAAGACCTGTCTTTGTTCAGGTGGATGTTTGTGACGTCTCTGGGCTAGGGTTCAGGTGGATGTTTGTGACGTCTCTGGGCTAGGGTTCAGGTGGATGTTTGTGACGTCTCTGGGCTAGGGTTCAGGTAGATGTTTGTGACGTCTCTGGGCTAGGGTTCAGGTGGATGTTTGTGACGTCTCTGGGCTAGGGTTCAGGTTGTTATTGACGTCTCTGGGCTAGGGTTCAGGTGGATGTTTGTGACGTCTCTGGGCTAGGGTTCAGGTGGATGTTTGTGACGTCTCTGGGCTAGGGTTCAGGTGGATGTTTGTGACGTCTCTGGGCTAGGGTTCAGGTGGATGTTTGTGACGTCTCTGGGCTAGGGTTCAGGTGGATGTTTGTGACGTCTCTGGGCTAGGGTTCAGGTGGATGTTTGTGACGTCTCTGGGCTAGGGTTCAGGTAGATGTTTGTGACGTCTCTGGGCTAGGGTTCAGGTGGATGTTTGTGACGTCTCTGGGCTAGGGTTCAGGTGGATGTTTGTGACGTCTCTGGGCTAGGGTTCAGGTGGATGTTTGTGACGTCTCTTTGCTAGAGTTTATGTGGTAGTTTGGGACGTCTCTGGGTTAGGGTTCAGGTGGATGTTTGTGACGTCTCTGGGCTAGGATTCAGGTGGTTGTTTGTGACGTCTCTTTGCTAGAGTTTATGTGGTAGTTTGGGACGTCTCTGGGTTAGGGTTCAGTTGGTTGTTTGTGACGTTTCTGGGCTAGGGTTCAGATAGATATTTGTGACGTCTCTGGTCTAGGGTTCAGGTGGTTGTTTTGGACGTCTCTTTGCTAGGGTTCAGGTAGATATTTGGGACGTCTCTTGGGTAGGGTTCAGGTAGATATTTGGGACGTCTCTGGTTTAGGGTTCAGGTGCTTGTTTGGAACGTCTCTGAGGTCAGGTCTTTACCTTAATATAGACCGGACTCACATTCATGAGACTAAAGACAGCTAGGATACTGGCCATTAAATCCTTTGCTCCGACATAACCACAAACGGATAAACTCTGGCGCATCTTAATCCAGGCAAGACAATAATAACGCGAATACCACATAATCAGATTCCCCAACTCAAAGCTCATGCAAAATTTTACGCACCACGGCAAAACAGTTTCGCTTGAAAACAACAAAAAAACGAACGGGAATTTCCAAGAACTTGAGCATCCATTGCGTTCATTGTTGTGGTGTGACATTTATTTCAACAAAAGTGGTCTGTATGATACTTGGTAAACACGTTTACACCATGAGTAGCATTTAGCCAAGTTTGGAATACGCCGAGAACAAACCCCACTTCTACCGTGAAAGACGTACCACGAACTGACCCGGCGCCCACCCAATCCCCATCCTGACGGCCTTTTGAAATCGACGCTGTTGATCGACCAAGTACAATGACGGGCCTAGATCTAGCTAGCTCATCGAGACTACCTTCAGAGTAATTCCTGTGCTGTAGCAGTTCTACGTCTACAGTTTGGTGTGTTACCTGGGTCTTAGGACGGCATGTCGACTCATGGTTCAAGGAAAAGGCGCCACAAGTCTAGAGGTAGTTCAAGTTAATAATTCTAGACTAGATTCTAGTTTTCTACCAGCACTAGACCTTCTAGCTCTAGAGGTAGTTCAAGTTAATAATTCTAGACCAGATCTAGAATCTAGTTTGTAAGTCTGACATTATACCAGCACTAGACCGTCTAGCTGTATAGGTAGCTCAAGGAAATAATGCTAGACCAGTACTAGATTCCCCTAGTCTGACCGTCTCGCTCTAGTGGTAGCACAGGTGAATAGTTCATTAGATTCTAGTTTCCTTTATCTCAAGACTAGACCCTATATTACAATAGCCTGCGTCCTTTTATGTGCCACTTGTTGTACGAGATCTACAAATCCGTAAAGTTTTAGCAGAGGCGTAGCGACCCTTCCCGGCGCCCGGGGACAAACTTTTCGATTTGCACCCCCCCTCGAGATTTCGATTTACACCCCCCCCCCTCAAACTTTCGATTTGCACCCCCCTCAACCTTTCAATTTATTTTTCCAACCCATTTTGGCGCCCCCTAAGGTCGGCGACCGGAAATATGTCCCCCCCCACCCCCTCTCGCTACGCTACTGAGTTTTAGTTATTATTGTACATAACGATTCTTGGTTCGTTTAAAAAAATATAGGCAAAAAAGTTTCTAGCAGTATCGGTTGTTGTAGCGGTTAGGGTCAAGGTATCAATACTAGGCCAACGGAAAAATAGACTCAGATACTTAGTGGTCTAGCAGTAGAGAGCTAAACTGCTAACCCGTAAGTCTCGTGTTCGAATCCGTGTTCTAGCCAGTAAGGAAAGTAAAGGCGGCTGGTCATAGTGCTATCTCTTCATATGCCGGGGTCACAGAAACAAGTGAACTCTGCTTTACTTTCCCCGTAGACCGTCAGGTTGAAAAAGGGAACTTTACTTTTTACCAAAAATGGACTAAATATATCGTTGTTAATTTAAAAAAAAAACACGTCAAAATTACTTATAGACCAACATGAAAAAACACTAGAATGAAATAAAAAGATTCGTAAGACTATCGACAAGGCTTAACCCAAATCTTTACCGTAAAAAGCAATAAACAATATCATACTAACGCATAGACAAGCAAGGGATAACTAACATAATGTGGGTTCAACACAACCAAAACAACAAAGTTATACACGTTGTAACTATCGTCTGCTAGACTAGACCAAAACAACAATGTTATACACGTTGTAACTGTCGTCTGTTAGACTAGACCAAAGCAACAACGTTATACACGTTGTTAAGGCGTGCTGCTAAACTAGACCAAAATAACAATGTTATTCACGTTGTAACTGTCTTCTGCTATACTAGATCAAAACAACAAAGTAATACATGTTGTTATTGTCATCTGCTAGACTAGACAAAATCAATGAAGTTAATACACGTTGTTACTGTCGTCTGCCAGAGAAGATGCAGACAGCGAGCACTAACAGTGACGACAACCAGGACAACAACCAGCCACAACCCCAGGAGCAACCAAAAGACGAGCAGGGTGAGGCAGGCGGTAGACAAGAGCTGGTCGCCATCTTGGACCGTTTGTTCTCCAAATCAATGGAAGACGGGGCTCCGGCCGCGGACAGCAATGACAGAGTAGGCCATCATTGCTTTCTGTTCTGTGATATAATATATACAATAACATTCAGAGCCTATATTTATTATATATAATTTTTGCCATTTTTCGACCTTGTGCCCATCACCCTCAACTGGGTCCACACACCTCTGATAGGTATCTAACTCACGTTAGGGAAAGTAAATGCGGCTGATCATAGTTCCGACCACACTATCCCTTCATATTATGAGGTCCCTGAAACAGATGAACTCTGTCTACCCCATGTGTTTTGGAACGGGAAAGAGTATATATATATATTATATATATATATATATATATATATATATATATATATATATATATATATATATATATATATATATATATATATATATATATATATAGGCTATACACCCAAACACGTAACTTACGCCTCTATGCCTGTATATAAATTAATAAAAAAAACCCTGGTGTTTATAATCTCCAATGATCTGAACCAGTTGAGCCGGGTAGCCTGCCTGTCTGTTGCTGCAAGTATCGGCCATGTTGAGGGGGTCAAGAAACTTCTGGATGAAAATCTTGACGTCAATGCCAGGTCAAAGGTCAGCCCCATCTAAATTTAAACGTCCCTTCAAAATTTGTTTCCTTCTCCGTAGTTTTTAGTCGCCTGTCATCAATGATGTATCGGTGAGGTGTAGGTGTGTGGCGGAAACGAAGGGAGGGGGATGAGAGGTTGGTGAGGGATTCACAAATCTTTGATGAATTTTTAACAAACTGTATTAGGTGTAGGAGAGATTTGACTATTGTCTGACTGGTTTAAGAAACTGTATACAATTTTAATATTTTCGTGGCGTCTAAAAACACTAATCTTAAGCAGACATGTGTTCAGTGTTTTTTTTTTATGCATTTCTTTGCGAAGTGGGCACTGCCTCCCCGGGGATGAAAAAGTATATAATTTATACATACAATATATATCTTAACCAGCGTTCACCTCTCGTTAATTTTAAGTGACCCCCACCCCGAGGAAAATATCTGAAAAAACCTTGCCCGTAGATACCTATTCAATGACAACTATGTAGTTAACTTGGCTCCAACCTACTCTCAAGATTACCATTCAACCTTCGCCAACCTACTCTCAAGATTATCTATTAACCTTCACCAACCTACTCTCAAGATTACCATGCAACCTTCGCCAACCTACTCTCAAGATTACAATTCAACCTTCGCCAACCTACTCTCAAGATTACAATGCAACCTTCGCCAACCTACTCTCAAGAATACCTATCAACCCTCGCCAACCTACTCTCAAGATTACCATTCAACCTTCGCCAACCTACTCTCAAGATTACCATTCAACCTTCGCCAACCTACTCTCAAGATTACCATTCAACCTTCGCTAACCTACTCTCAAGATTACCATTCAACCTTCGCCAACCTACTCTCAAGATTACCAGTCAACCTTCGCCAACCTACTCTCAAAATTACCATTCAACCTTCGCCAACCTACTCTCAAGATTACCATTCAACCTTATCCAACCTACTCTAGAGATTACAATTCCACCTGCGCCAACCTACTCTAGAAATTACCATTCAACCTTCGCCAACCTACTCTCAAGAATACCATTCAACCTTCGCCAACCTACTCTCAAGATTACCACTCAACCTTCGCCAACCTACTCTCAAGATTACAATTCAACCTTCGCCAACCTACTCTCAAGATTACAATGCAACCTTCGCCAACCTACTCTCAAGATTACCTATCAACCCTCGCCAACCTACTCTCAAGATTACAATTCAACCTTCGCCAACCTACTCTCAAGATTACAATGCAACCTTCGCCAACCTACTCTCAAGATTACCTATCAACCCTCGCCAACCTACTCTCAAGATTACCATGCAACCTTCGCCAACCTACTCTCAAGATTATCTATCAACCTTCACCAACCTACTCTCAAGATTACCATTCAACCTTCGCCAACCTACTCTCAAGATTATCATTCAACCTTCGCCAACCTACTCTCAAGATTACCATTCAACCTTCACCAACCTACTCTCAAGATTATCTATCAACCTTCACCAACCTACTCTCAAGATTACCATTCAACCTTCGCCAACCTACTCTCAAGATTACCACTCAACCTTCGCCAACCTACTCTCAAGATTACAATTCAACCTTCGCCAACCTACTCTCAAGATTACAATGCAACCTTCGCCAACCTACTCTCAAGATTACCTATCAACCCTCGCCAACCTACTCTCAAGATTACAATTCAACCTTCGCCAACCTACTCTCAAGATTACAATGCAACCTTCGCCAACCTACTCTCAAGATTACCTATCAACCCTCGCCAACCTACTCTCAAGATTACCATGCAACCTTCGCCAACCTACTCTCAAGATTATCTATCAACCTTCACCAACCTACTCTCAAGATTACCATTCAACCTTCGCCAACCTACTCTCAAGATTATCATTCAACCTTCGCCAACCTACTCTCAAGATTACCATTCAACCTTCACCAACCTACTCTCAAGATTATCTATTAACCTTCACCAACCTACTCTCAAAATTATCATTCAACCTTCACCAACCTACTCTCAAGATTACCATTCAACCTTCACCAACCTACTCTCAAGATTATCTATCAACCTTCACCAACCTACTCTCAAGATTACCATTCAACCTTCACCAACCTACTCTCAAGATTATCTATCAACCTTCACCAACCTACTCTCAAGATTATCATTCAACCTTCGCCAACCTACTCTCAAGATTACCATTCAACCTTCACCAACCTACTCTCAAGATTATCTATTAACCTTCACCAACCTACTCTCAAGATTATCATTCAACCTTCACCAACCTACTCTCAAGATTACCATTCAACCTTCACCAACCTACTCTCAAGATTATCTATCAACCTTCACCAACCTACTCTCAAGATTACCATTCAACCTTCGCCAACCTACTCTCAAGATTATCATTCAACCTTCGCCAACCTACTCTCAAGATTACCATTCAACCTTCACCAACCTACTCTCAAGATTATCTATTAACCTTCACCAACCTACTCTCAAAATTATCATTCAACCTTCACCAACCTACTCTCAAGATTACCATTCAACCTTCACCAACCTACTCTCAAGATTATCTATCAACCTTCACCAACCTACTCTCAAGATTACCATTCAACCTTCACCAACCTACTCTCAAGATTATCTATCAACCTTCACCAACCTACTCTCAAGATTATCATTCAACCTTCGCCAACCTACTCTCAAGATTACCATTCAACCTTCACCAACCTACTCTCAAGATTATCTATTAACCTTCACCAACCTACTCTCAAGATTATCATTCAACCTTCACCAACCTACTCTCAAGATTACCATTCAACCTTCACCAACCTACTCTCAAGATTATCTATCAACCTTCACCAACCTACTCTCAAGATTACCATTCAACCTTCACCAACCTACTCTCAAGATTATCTATCAACCTTCACCAACCTACTCTCAAGATTATCTATCAACCTTCACCAACCTACTCTCAAGATTACCATTCAACCTTCACCAACCTACTCTCAAGATTATCTATCAACCTTCACCAACCTACTCTCAAGATTACCATTCAACATTCGCCAACCTACTCTCAAGATTACCATTCAACCTTCGCCAAACTACTCTCAAGATTACCATTCAACCTACGCCAACCTACTCTCAAGATTACCATTTAACCTTCGCCAACCTACTCTCAAGATTACCATTCAACCTTCACCAACCTACTCTCAAGATTACCATATAACCGTCGCCAACCTACTCTCAAGATTACCTATCAACCTTCACCAACCCACTCCTCTCTTCTTTACATCATTAAATCATTACATCGGAGTTGACAGGTGATCGTCACCGCCCTCATTAATCAGTGTTTAGGTCACGTGACGTAGATTAGAGGGTGGAGTGGCGTGGTGTAAAATTGAAAATAAATTGGTAAGGGTTGGTGGGTGGGGGGGGGGGGGGGATGGTAGGAGAGGTTGGAAGATGTTTCAATGGACGCATGCAGTGTAAATGAAGGGAGGGTCGTGTTGTTCCCATCCAGAAATAAATAAACCACCAAGTGGTATGGAGAAAAAAGAAAAACAAGGATCGTGTCCCGATAAGCCCCGCCACTAATGCAAAAAGTACACTGGCGAAAAGTTAAGACACTTCACATTTTGTCAACTATAATTTAATGCACACACGCAACCTTGACATATTTTTTTTATCTCTAGACATTTGAATGCTTTTAAGAACACGCCATAGGATTAGGCCTATGGTTAGGTTTGGGCTAAGGTTAGAGTTAAAAACTAAAAGTTAAAGTTTCATATAATCTTTTTTTATAATCTTGCTTTAGTGGCGGAGGTTTATTTTTTTTTTTTTTTTGGCGGGGCTTATCTGGACAAGATAAAAAAAATCATTCAATTACACGCCATTACATACTGTTAAATGAATCTGTATTAAAAAAAACTAAAACAATCGCCCAGTATATCTGAAGTTTTATCCCCCCCCCCATATCTTCTACTGAACGGTGCAGGGATGTTTCACGGTGCTACAGAGCGCCGTGTCGTGGAAACATTACAAGATCGCTGAGATGCTGCTACAGAAGGGGGCCGAGGTCTCTGATATATCGGAGGTGGGTGGCTATAGTTCTTGTGGTGGGGGATGGGGGGGACTTAAGTGAGGTGGGTGGCACTGGTTCTATGGGTGGAGGGAGGTGGGGTATAGGTTTTTAAGTGAGTGTGCAAGCACTGGCTTCTACGAGGCTTATTGACAATGGTTCATGAGGGTCTTTAGGTGTTGTGAATAGCATCAGTTCGTGGGGTTCTTTGGGTGGTATGGGTAGCACTGGTTCCTGGGTCTGAGTAATATGGCTCTGCATCCGGGGGTGGGGGGGGGGGGGGTGGGGGGTGGGGGTGTTATCCAGTGATGTGGGTAGCACTTGTTCATGGGATCTGAGTAATAAGGCACTGGATCTTGATCCTTTTGATGCTGTTACACAGGTTTTTGTGATTTGCTTAAACTATGTTTATATATATATATATATATATATATATATATATATATATATATATATATATATATATATATATATATATATATATATATATATATTTACCAATTAGACAGGGCAAAATAGCTTGATGTTGGCAGCAGCTAATGGTGATGTCACAATGATGAATCTTTTATGGAACTACAAAGGCTCAGATTTAGACATCAACGCGATAGATCAGGCAAGTTGTACTCAAGTTCATCTAAAGTCCCACAATTTAATTGTTTGTCTGCCGGTTATACCTCATAGTATGTTCACAGCTGGCTTTGTTGTTCAGGGTTTAAACCTCTGGTAGGGAGAAACTATTTAACGCGAACTATCAACTGGTACGCGGACCACAGGTGCTTTGACAATAAAGGCTAGAACTTATTTTATCCTTTCTTCATACAGATAGAGATATTACATTTTCGTAACAGTGGAATCGATTAATTGTGTACGTTTCAGTGTTGTTCATTTGATTTCCCACCACCCTGCTTAGGCCTATTGTATATAATGTTTATTTTTAATCCATAAACTAGCATGTAGGAAGTTTTATCGAACATGACTAAGCCATAACCATTGAATTTCTTGTAACTAACATAAGAAACACCATTGACGCGTTGCTTAACAAATATAGGGTAGACTTAAAACAGTTCACATAAAATAGCAAAAGAAGTATCTATATATATAATTCTCTTCTTGGAGACCATAGAAAACACCAAGCTGTAAGCGCGCTCCCTAGCACCCCCACCCCTATATGGTCTAGTGAGCTATGGTTCACGCTAAATGTTTATAATCGTAGAGCCGGGTTTAGTGACGGCTATTAGGGGCAGATAATTTAGTTTTAAACTATCTTAAACTTAGGGGAGGTAGCTAAGAGGAGGCTGCTTTCATGGGGGGGGGGGGGGGTATGGTAGGGGTTGGGGGAAAGGAGGGTGGGGGTAGTATCGTCCTTAACGACCTACTGATAGTGTTTTAAAGCTAATATTTTCAGTAGCAACACTGGTACTGTCGAATTCACAAATTATGAATTACAGAAAAGTAGAAAACAAAACTAAATAGCGGCATATGATACGCCGCGGGTTGGTTCGTACCAGTAGCGTACGCAGGGGGGGAGCAGGGGGAGCGGCCGCTCCCCCTGTGGCCATTTTCAGCAAAGTGGCGCCTTTTTGGAAACTTTTTAAACTCAAAGTTTTAAACAATGATATTTGTTAAAAAAATATTTTTGGTCGGCACATCTATGTAAATCACAAGATTTCTTTTCATGCAGCAATTAACATAAGCATTATTGTACTAGTCTAGTAGTGTCTACGTTTACAACACGTATTAACAGCTGCATCAGTTTGCCATTCTAAAAATAACCATTACGATGCATTGCAATGTTTAAAAAACCTCTACGGTTAGTACCACTTGGCAAGAGGGTTGTTAAGTTTAAGGCAACTTTATAATGTATTTGCTTACGAATAATTGAATTAGAAAATGTTATACATAAAACTTCACATATAATTACTTTATGTATACAGTTTGAATCGTGTGATTACAATGCAGAAACAAATACAACTGATGTGTCACCTCTATTTAAATTTACTTATGAGCAAACTGCGTAGTGGTGGGGAAATTTTGACAATGCCAACAACGTCATCACGATGAAGTAGTAGTATTCTTACAGTTTGGGCGATAGTGATTACGATTACAAATTATATGAAACAGTTACAACCCCCATCCTCCATGGACCCCTCTGTAAAAACAAATATTGTCATAATGCCACTGCTACTTATTTAAATCTATTTCTGTAATATATATTTATGTTATATATATTTGTGTAATATATATGTACGAGCCGACCCGCGGCATATCATACGCCGCTATTTAGTTGTTTTATTTTCTACTTTTCAGTAATTCATAATTTGTGAATTCGACAGTACCAATGCTGCCAATGAAAATATTTTCTTTAAAACACTATCAATAGGTCGTTAAGAACGATACTACCCGCACCCTCCTTTCCCCCAACCCCTAACCTACACCCCCCCCCCCCGTGAAAGCAGCCTCTCCTTAGTTACCTCCCCTAAGTTTAAAATCGTTTCAAACTAAATTATCTGCCCTTAATAGCCGTCACTAAACCCGGCTCTACGATTGTAAACATTTAGCTTGAACCACAGCTCACCAGACCATGTATGGTTGGGGTAGTAGGGAGCGCGCTTACAGCTTGTTTTCTAGCGTCTCCAAGAAGAGAATTATATATATATATATATATATATATATATATATATATATATATATATATATATATAGATGTTTAGAATAGTCATCTAAAAACTGACGCTCTGTTCACTCTGAGTTGGTTATCTCCCCCCCCCCCCCCCACAGACACACACCTCACCACCACAATTGTGTAAAGCGACATTAATGTCACACCTAGGTATACACTGTGTTGGATAATTGACCTAAAGTGACCGGACAGTGGTGAATGAAGTTGAACCCCCCCCCCCCCCCCCCCCCAATCCACCCCGAACTGAGCTGTTAAGTACATGTACAAAAACGCGTAATGATGTACCAAAGTACCATGCCGCCAGAAAATTAGCTTTTTAAACGTAAAACTCTGTGAATATTGTTTTTGCAATTACCAGTAAAAAGGTGTGTGATCAATACAGTAATCTAACCCATACCTATCACTATGTTAAAAAATGACCTTTAAAGAACACAAAGCAGCAGTAGTTAATTAAAATATATGATCTGAACTAAAAGAACGATATTTGTTAATTGAAGGTTGTTGTTCTAAATACTTTACTACTGATTGAAAAGCGTGGTTTTATACCAACTCTGATTATAGACAAAAATATGTTGTAAACAAGAATAGTGTTAAACAATTTTATTATATTCTAAAGTAATTATTTATTTGTTTTGACATTTATAATTAAATGTGTAGATATATACATATTTATATTAAGAGAGTGATTATTTCCCCTATTTCACTTGTCTTAAATAATTTCCCAGGAATTATTATGTAAGAAATTTTTTTACAAGAATTACAAAACAGATTGTGTTACGTTCATTGCTTTTGGTTGTAGTGTGTGTATATTTCTCTTTTGTTTAGATTGATACAATTTTTATTTTATCGGCCTACATTGTGTGTTTTTTCTTATTTCTTCAGAGTGCTACTTTCAATTTATTTTACATCATAGCGAAGTAATGACATACAGCTAGTAATTATATATATATATATATATATATATATATATATATATATATATATATATATATATATATATATATATATATGTATATATATATAATACACGTATTTAGAACATGTAAAAAATTTCGGCGCCTTTTTTTTTATTTTTTCGCTCCCCCTACAACGAAAACCTGGATACGCCTCTGGTTCGTACAATGTGTATAATCTATAGAAGAACAAATTCTTTTTGAGGGATTTGAAAACAACTTCAGAGAGACAGTCAACACAATAAATGGACTGCAATGGCAAACAAACAGACAATAAATAGAGAAAAACGAAAAAAAAGTTAATGACCAAATTATCACCTTCTTTATCTGACACGAGGATAACATTTGAAAGACACAGATGTTTGTATGTCTCATCCTGTAGGACGGCAACACGGCCTTACATTTGTCGGCACAGTCGTCCAACAAGGAGGCCGTCAGTTTTCTGCTACACAGGGGCGCTCTGGGGGACGTCAAGAACAACGTAAGTTGGTCAACTCGCAGTCAACTGTTTGATTTGGTGAACAATCAGGGAACTAATTTTTTCCTGAAAATCATCTTCCTAAAGTTTTAATTAGCGAAAACCACCTTTAACAATTTCACTATGGATGCTTTTGACACAAGGTTAACTACTATAACTAGCTTGCCTTGCCCACGTTTGGTCTCACTAACTCACCTTGCCTACGTAAAGTTTCCCTAACACCAGAAATGTTTCTCCTAAGATTACCTATTTAGCTTGCCTTCTTAACGGTTTCACGTTAATGTTTCTGCCACCTAGTCTCACCAACTCACCTTGTCTATGTCTGGTCTCACCAACTCACCTAGCCTATGTCTGGTCTCACCAACTCACCTAGCCTATGTCTGGTCTCACCAACTCACCTTGCCTATACCTAGTCTCATCAACTCACCTTGCCTATGTCTGGTCTCACCAACTCACCTTGTCTATGTCTGGTCTCACCAACTCACCTTGCCTATACCTAGTCTCACCAACTCACCTAGCCTATGTCTGGTCTCACCAACTCACCTAGCCTATGTCTGGTCTCACCAACCCACCTTGCCTATGTCTGGTCTCACCAACTCACCTTGTCTATGTCTGGTCTCACCAACTCACCTAGCCTACACCTGTCTCACCAACTCACCTTGCCTATGTCTGGTCTCACCAACTCACCTTGTCTATGTCTGGTCTCACCAACTCACCTAGCCTACACCTGTCTCACCAACTCACCTTCCCTACACCTGTCTCACCAACTCACCTTCTCTACACCTGTCTCACCAATCACTTTGTCTACACCTGTCTCACCAACTCACCTGGCCTACACCTAGTCTCACCAACTCACCTTGCCTATACCTAGTCTCACCAACTCACCTTGCCTATACCTGTCTCACCAACTCACCTTGTCTACACCTGTCGCACCAACTCACCTTGCCTACACCTAGTCTCACCAACTCACCTTGTCTACACCTGTCTCACCAACTCACCTTGTCTACACCTAGTCTCACCAACTCACCTTGCCTACACCTAGTCTCACCAACTCACCTTGTCTACACCTAGTCTCACCAACTCACCTTGCCTACACCTAGTCTCACCAACTCACCTTGTCTACACCTAGTCTCACCAACTCACCTTGCCTACACCTAGTCTCACCAACTCACCTTGCCTACGTCTGGTCTCACCAACTCACTTTGCCTACGTCTGGTTTTAGCTGGGTCAGACTGTCCTACACAAGGCGGCCAAGCTCGGTGACCTTGAGACGTGTGAGCTCTTCATCCAACATTTCTCGTCAGGCGACACCTCGGGGTGTGAGCAGGTCGCCAAGCTGATCCTAAGCGAGGACACGGTCAGTTGGCACGTCAGCTGTCACATGTCACTGTCACATGTCATGACTGTCACGTTTATTGTTGTGTGGTCTAACTTGGTGAGTAGCAGTAGCCACGCCAAGGCGAATCAGTTAAAAGCTCCCTGCTCACTTAATAAGCGCAGCATCAACACACTTAAAAAAAACGGTTAGTGCATTTCACCTCTATGTATGTAGTAGCTTTATGCCCGCTACCATAACACTTGTATTTTAGCCATCACCAAACAGAACATGCTACATAAGTCATAACTAACAGCTTCAAATACCAATAAAAACAGCTTCATTAATTAAAAACTTGCTTCGCTATAACATAACACCACACCATTAAACCCCCTCCATCTCTATAACATAACACCACACCATTAATCCCTCCCCCCCTTTAACACGACCACACACCTAACACCACACCATTAACCCCTCCCCCTATACCATAACACCACACCATTAACCCCTCCCCCCTATAACACCACACCATTAACCCCTCCCCCCTATAACACCACACCATTAACCCCTCCCCCCTATAAAAACACACCATTAACCCCTCCCCCCTATACCATAACACCACACCATTAACCCCTCCCCCCTATAACACCACACCATTAACCCCTCCCCCCTATAACACCACACCATTAACCCCTCCCCCCTCCCCCCTATACCATAACACAACACCATTAAACCCTCCATCCCCTATAACATAACACCACACCATTAACCCCTCCCCTATAACACCATACCATTAACCCCTCCCTCCCTCCCTCCCCCTATAACCCCACACCATTAACCCCTCCCTCCCTCCCCCTATAACACCACACCATTAACCCCTCCCCTATAACACCATACCATTAACCCCTCCCTCCCCCACCAGGAAGGACGGACGCCCATCTGTGAGGCCCTAAAGAACCAGCACCAGCTCCTTGTACAACTGCTCCTCAACGCTTGCCGCCCCGAGGACGCGCTGGAGTTCTACATGGTAGTTTTTTTTGTTTAACAGATAGAGCCACTGTGAAATATTACTGTCTCGGGTTACGAATAATGTTCCAAGATTCGAATTTCATAGTTTTTTTCGCACCACGTGAAATTATTGATTTCCGACGATAAACTTCAATTTACTTTTCATATAGTTATGGTAGTATTGGGGCAGGTGAAGTAGAGGTCATCAATTACCCTGACATCGACAGAGGAAGCAATATAGTGGGCAGCATTATGGGTATCCATGGAAACACGGGTCTAAAAATGGAACGTTTTTTACCGAGTGGGTGCAGCCAGTGATTATTTCACCCATCTCTTTAGGGGAGGGGGTGGAATTCTACTCCCCCCTCCCCCATGACGAAATAGAAAAAATATATAATTTATATAGAAAATATATCCTTACATAAATCGAAGTGAGCTCACCACTCCAGTAGAGAAAAAATGTCTGATAGAAACACTGGACAAAATAAATAACACAACAAATAATTTCAATAAAAAGTGAACGATTTATCAATGATAAGGTGACATCCAACATGTTACTAGTAACTGATGGCTCGAACCAAGAAAGCTTAAATATTTTAAAAATATCAATAACTCTGTAGAATAAACAGACAATGGTTACATTAATATTAAGAAAAAAAATCAACTTTTCATCTAGTTATATGAATGTGAAAGATAAAACCCAAATGTGGTTGGTTAATTTGTGCTTGACTATTGCTCCTAGAGGAGTGTCCAATAACTCAGTAGAATAAACAAACCTTGGTACATTAATGTTAAGAAAAGAAAACAACTTTTCACATAGATGAATGCATATGAAAAATAAAACCCAAATCTGGTTGGTTAATGTGTGTTTGACTCTTGCCTCAGAGACCTATCTAAGAACTCAGTAGAACAAAAAACCTTGGTACATTAATATTAAGGACACTAAACGTTTCACATAGATGAATGCATATGAAAAATAAAACCCAAATCTGATTGTTTAATGTGAATTTGACTCTTGCCACAGAGACGGATCCACAAACTGGGGAGCCTGTCCAGCGATGACCCCAGCTTTGACATGCAGTCCATCCTGGGCTCGCTGCTGTTGGTGGTCAAGAGTCTCCAGAAGGAGTTTCTCAGCCAGCTGGCGACAGCTGACCCGATCCACCACCTGGTGCAAACCATCCGTCTGCACGTCACTTCCCCCAGGGTTCGTCTGGTTGTTTGTCTGTATGTGTCTGTCTGTGCGTCCGTTTGTGTGTTTCTCTGTCTGTTTGTGAGTCTGTGTCTTATGTATGTATGTCTGTGTATGTGTGTCTGTGTGTGTGTCTGTGTCTGTGTGTCTGGTCTGTTTTTTCTGTCTTCCTGTCTGCGTGTGTCTGTTTATGTCTGTGTGTCTGTAAGTCTGTGTGTCTGTTTATGTCTGTGCGTCTGTAATTCTGTGTGTCTGTGTCTTGCGTCTTTGTATCTATATGTGTGTGTCTATATGTCTGTGTGTCTGTATTTATGTGTATCCATCTGTCTGTCTGTGGTTCCTTCTTGCTCTCTGTCTCTCCTTCAGTATCCTAGTATCTCATCCCCTCTCTCTGGCTCTTTGTCCTTCTCTCTCTCTCTCTGTTTCTCTGTCAGTCTCTAGGTGTGTCGTATATAATCTGCGACTCCCCCCCCCCCCATCAAACTACCTTTCCTCCCCTACCTGCATGTTATCCTACATCTCTTTCTATCCAGGTCTTGTCTGCGGCGTGTCTGATGATCAGTCAGCTGATCTGGAAAGAGGATCCAGGCACAGACGAGGCCATAAGCCAACAGGAAGAGACACTGGACCTCAGGGACGACCTCCTACAGAGGTTTCTGCACTGTAAAGGTAGGACATTAGGGGCTCAGACAGAGGGGTGTAGGTGTTCGGGTGTTAGAACCCTAAATACAAACACAATTCTTTACATATTCCCATTTCCGCAATTTCCACTTTCTTTTTTTATCAAATGCCATCTATAACCTTTATATCCCCAATTCCCATCTCTAACTTTTATGTCCTAATGTCCTTCCATGACCTCCAGGTCCTGATGTCGTAATGGAGAAGCTGAGTACTCACGTGCTGACCGCCCACGACACGTACATCGTCGTGAGTACTCTGCTGCCCATCATGATCCTAGCAAGTAGGTCAGCAGGTCGCACGTGGCTCGGGCAGAACAGGTTAGTGTAGTGTCAGTACAGTGACCTTATGTCATGCTTGTCAGAAAAGTTCAATGACCTTTTGTCATGTTTGTCAGGAAATTTTAATGACCTTATGTCACGATTGTTAGTAATGTTCAATGACCTTATGACACAATTGTTAGTAAAGTTAAGTGACCTTATGACACAATTGTTAGTAAACTTCAGTGACCTTATGACACAATTGTTAGTAAAGTTCAGTGACCTTATGACACAATTGTTAGTAAAGTTCAGTGACCTTATGACACAATTGTTAGTAAAGTTCAGTGACCTTATGACACAATTGTTAGTAAAGTTCAGTGACCTTATGACACAATTGTTAGTAAAGTTCAGTGACCTTATGACACAATTGTTAGTAAAGTTCAGTGACCTTATGACACAATTGTTAGTAAAGTTCAGTGACCTTATGACACAATTGTTAGTAAAGTTCAGTGACCTTATGACACAATTGTTAGTAAAGTAAAATGACTTTATGTCACGATTGTTAGTAAAGTACAGTGACCTTACATCACGTTTATAAGGGACGTATTAATCATAGTGTCACTTTTGTCATAAAAGTACACTGTCTATTTCACATTTTGATTGCTGATGAAGATTTTTGTTTGAAGCATAGTTAGAATGGAGAAAACCCTATTACTAATTGAAGTCTAATTGACTTACTTTGACTTGATCCTCTTTGCTCCTTATGGAACATAGGGCCTCCACCATTTCCTTCCATTTAAGCCTACTTACACTTTTGCAAAAGTATTGAGTCAAAAGCACAATGCTTTTTATCTATCCACTAGGCTGTATTACTATCAGACCAGAAAAGTTTTTAAAATTTATAATTTAAAAAAAAATATTTTCAGCGGAAACCTCAGCTTTTACAAAGAACTCCTGACGCGGAATAAGACCTTCATCACGCACATCAACATCAGCAACCACATGGGTCAAGGTCTCCAGGTCAGCCAGGTCATCAAAACCTTCCTGGGCTTTGTCGAGAGCATCGAGGCCAAGGACCGGGAGCAGAACCTGGCTGAGCTGCTTGAGGAGGAGGAGAGGGACCGCATCAAGCGGGAGAAGAAGAAGAGGAAGCGCCAGAAACGACACAAACAATCCAAGCTGGACGTCACGCAGACGTCGACCGCCGAGGGTAGTACGGACGATGAAAATGGAGAGCAAGGCGCATGGAATGCGGACGGTTTGTGCAACGCGGATTTATTTTCTCCCGGGGAGGCGGGTTCAGATAAAGACCACGCCCTTTACTACCAGCAGAAGGTTAACGACCAGACGGAGCAGAAAGCCAACGATGCGAGTCAGGAGAAGTTTGGTCTCCAGTCACAAGTTCTTCGGGAGAAGGAGTGCACAAGGAAGGCGTTTCCTTTAGAGGCGTGTGTCCCGGATGTTAAGGTGCCCGGGGCGGATCCAAAATGGCACCAGGATGTTTCCACTCAAGAAGAATTCCCGCCTATTTCTACAGGATACGAGGACAGGGTCAACGCTGATCCCAACGACGGTTGGGTCAAAGTGGAAAATAGAAAAGTGGGATCCCGGAGCGCGAATAAACCCGTCACCACCGGGAATTTAAGCGCCACCAAAGTGCAGGACTTCCCGCGCCCCGGGCCCATGCGTTGGGCAGACGTGGCCAAAATCGGATGTTCCAGAGACAGTGGTGCCAGAAATTTTACCGTGTTGGTCGGCGACGTCAACCGGACGGCCAGCTCGGATTTCTACAAACTGACCAGTGGTCCGCGCGGCACGGAGAACCCGACCCCACACGCCGCGCACGGCGAGGGGGTCAAGGTCCGAGCAGACGACGACAGCGAGGACTGGCAGCAGGTTGCCAGGAACGCTTTCGTTGACAACATGTCCGTCAAAGGTTCTCAAAAAGATCGTTCTCCGTGTACCCCGGTGTCATCCGACTGCGATACTGACGAACTATCGTCGACGGGGTCATCTGAATGTCCTTCAGCTGCATCCAACGGACTACTGACCAGTAAAGATCCACTCTCCATCGTTGACGATTTTACCCTCGCTGACCCAACTCATATGTCCATGCACAAAATGTTCCCCAGTTCATTTTCTCATTTTTTCGACGAATCCAAAGACAAGAACCTTTTCTCCATGGACGATCTCGGTGAACCCAAGCGCTCCTCCCACGACATCATGAACAAACTGGCCGCCATCAAAGACATCAATCACCATAGCAACGACGGTAAACACACCTCTTCCTGGAGCTGGCTCAAGGACAAGCCCTTGGCGGAGTACCCCACCTCCTGGGACATCACCCCGAGGTCAAGGCCACTCCTGCAGACGACCTCCGGCAAAGTTCAGGTTCAGTCGGAAGGGGAGGACATGGAGGAGGGTAACGACGCCCAACTCGACGACCACCCCCGCGTGAAACTCTCCAGCAAAACCGACTTCTTCGACGACTTCCTACCCGATCTTGATAACGCGAGGTTTTCATCCATGACCGACGATTCATTTTTTCATCGATTCGACAAAACCAAGGCGGGGAAATCCACGCCTGTATTCGGGATGCTCTCGAAGAAAGATCTCTACGACCAGGACCTGTTCGAACTGTCCCTGCTGGCAGGAGACAAAGAGGCGTGGGCGGGGGACCCACACGAATGGGGGAAGAAAGAATTCCGGATGAAACCCGAATCTCGGGGGTTTGAGAACTCGTGGTTCGACAGGAGATCTGACGAGGGCGCTACAAAACTCGGCCACTCGGACAACCCGGGTTGCTACATGCCCAGTTTCGCCAGCATGGCTGGGGTTTTAGACAACAACCCCATCGTGACGTCAGTGGTCGAGTCGGTCCTGACCGCCCCCACCGTGACGTCACTTCCGGGTCTGGGTTTACCCGACAAGCAGCAGCCGACCTACAGCAACAAGGCGTCCGTTGTGCCGTCGCCCCCGCCGGGGTTCAATTTCCAAAAACCCAACCCCATGAGGGCGCTGGCGTTCGACCCCACCCTGGTTCTATACAACTCCCAAACCCTTTTATCCGGCAAAACGTCCAACACCCAAGACGCGAAAAATTTATCCAGTGACGCTCAGATGGATTTCGAAACCAATCGATCCACGGATAAACTCATCTTCGGCGCCACCAAACCCCGGACCCCGATGGTGGGGGTCGTGGGACCTTTCTCCAACACCAGCACCGACTTGTCTAACTCTGACCAGTTTCACACCCAGCGTTTCCAGAACTCCACCCTACCTGTGTTCAGCCATGCGGGTGACTTCAGCACCGGCATGCCCAGCTTGCCCGTGCGCCCCACTAGTACTCACACGGTCTTTGGGGTACCTGTCAGCTCTACGCCAATCTTCTCAGGTGTGGAACTCGATATGTAAATAACTGTTGGTTAGAATAGGCTACAGATAACTGAAATCGCATGTTACAACATAATTTGACTCTCTCTAACTCTCACTATCTCTTTATATATATATATATATATATATATATATATATATATATATATATATATATATATATATATATATACATACATACTTATATATGTATTTTGGTATGTAGAAAAGAGTGTTTACATATACATCATGTCCTGTGGTGTGAATTTTTTCAGGAAGCAATGCAGGCTCCAACTGTTGGCAGGACCGGACGTCGAATGTTTGCACGGTGACGGCCTCAAACATGACGTCATCAAGCAGCCTCTGCGCCACCCTCGGGGACCTGACGGCCCGCCTCCAGCCCCGGGTATCCTACCGGATCTCCGACCAACAGCTGACCCTGTCCAAACGTCCCCAGGACATCTCCTTCCGGACCTTCCAAGACGCCGTGGAGAGTTACCAGCGCCGTCAGAACGAGCAGTTCTTCCTGCACCAGCAGCACCAACAGCAGTTGATGCTGGACAGGCAGCAGCAGACGGCCCAGCAGCTGTTGAAGCAGTACAAGACGGCAGCGGCCAGCTGGCAGAAGCCGCACCTCAACCTGCTGCAGCAGCGACAGCACCAGCTGCGGCAGTTCCAGCCCCGCCAGCTCAGCCCGCCCGTGCTGTTCCCGGGGAGCCTGAGGGACGAGCCCGAGCCCCGGGACGGCCTGACCCTCCCAGCCTTCCAGGACAACACCCCCACGGACCTGCTGTCTGATCTGTTTGCTGACCCACTTCTCGTAGAAAAAATCGCCATCAACCAGGTATCTCCTCCAGGTTTAAAATTCGTTTTCATTCTACATCAGATTAAGACGCGCTCTTTGCTATCAAATATTCATTATAAATCACGTCATTGGCTAAAGTTTCTAGACACAAAGCCTTATCTCAGTTAATCTCCATCCCCATTCCCCCAAAAAAATAAAATAAATAAATTGAAACACGAGCAATTGTTAAGATTTTGGAAAACTATTACTTATGCATCTTGCTAACTCTAGTCTATGGTCTTCTTTTCAACTCAAATTTTAACCATAACACTGAAAACTGCGCTGGCATATATTTAACTGTTTTGACACAAACATGAAACTACCAGGGTAAAGTATTTCAGAGTGATGTTAAGACAATCTTAAATAAATCTTGAGGTAACACATATTTCAGTGTGTAGCTACAACTGACCTAAATAAAACCCCAGGCGACCCATATTTCAGTGTATAAATACCACTGACCAGGCGACCCATATTCCAGTGTATAACTACCACTACCAGGCGACCCATATTTCAGTGTATAACAACCACTAACCAGCGACCCATATTTCAGTGTATAACTACCACTACCAGGCGACCCATATTCCAGTGTATAACTACCACTGACCAGCGACCCATATTTCAATGTATAACTACCACTAACCAGCCGACCCATATTTCAGTGTATAACTACCACTGACCAGGCGACCCATATTTCAATGTATAACTACCACTGACCAGACGACCCATATTTCAGTGTATAACTACCACTGACGAGGCGACCCATATTTCAGATCCGCCAACAGTTCTGGAGCGCCCAGGTCAACAACCTCGCTAAAGACTCCATCAGCCCGTTCAGGGACTCTGTCTACAGCAACGACCTTGAGTACTACGCCTCGCTGTACAGGGTCAAGATCAGGGATGTCCTAGTAGGACCTATCCAGACAGAGTCCTCTAGTCAAGGTACAGGACTGGATGTAGAGAGTTTGTTGGATATTTAAAGTTGGATGTTTCAACATTTTTATTTTAAAATTTGATTTCGTTCAGCGGAGCAGACGCCAAGAGTCGAGACAGATCGCCTGACTCTGACGCGGGCCTCGCGAGCTCAAGATGGACGCCCTGGGTCACCAGAGAGGGAGATGGTGACCACCGAGAGATGCAGCAGGTGTCACCCTTGTCTGTGTGAAGTATTGTAATTCACCTTCATTTATTATCATACCCAGTGGCGTCGCTAGGTTGGGTGTCACCCGGTGCGGCACCTCATGGTGTCACCCCCCCTCCCCACCCTCTTAATTTAATCTGTAAATTAAATTTTGAAGTTGATGTCACCCCCCCCCCCCTCCCCCGGGAAAAGCTTTAAAATAGTAAAGTCAGTATAGTCAGTTGTTAATACAGCTGGGTGTAGCATTGCTTTCTCTATAGTTTGAATGTTCATGTCATGGTGTCGTCCCCCCCCCTGTTTGGGGTCATAATTATGTTCTTCATATATTTTTTAGCTCTAATTAACCATTCATTGAACTGGCAAAAAACACTTATTATATAAATCTTGCATATGTTTTGTCTTGGTGTCACCCCCCCCCCCTAAATGGTGTTACCCGGTGCGGTCTACACCCCCACCCCGCCTTGCGACGCCTCTGATCATACCCACGTTCGCTATATCGTTTCGCGCAAATTATTGTTCTTTCAGACTTGCGATTATTTCCAAATACAGTCCTATCATTGTGTCACAAAATCATCACATAGTTAAAAAAATGTTGCGATGTTATAAATATCAAAGCGTCACACAAAATATCATACTGTGTTTACATCACCATGCAACTCAAATCTTAATAGCTTAATAGCCCCATCCGTTCTTCAAACCATCACAATACATCAAGTAAAGAAGAAGATTTCTATTTAGATCTAGCGATCCATTAGGAAGATGAAATAGAGTTCATGTTGTTGATCTCGGTATATGAAGGGAAGGTGTGGTCAGCTCCAGTGGCGTAGCGAGGGCGGGTGTCACCCGGTGCGGCACTTAATGGTGTCACCCCCTAGAGGCGTAGCGACCCTTCGCGGGGACAAACTTTCAAATTTTCGATTTGCACCCCCCCCTCAAGTTTTCGATTTGCACTTCCTCAAGTTTTTTCTCTATATATTTAGCTATTTTTTGCCTTGGTGTCACCCCCCCCCCCCCTAAATGGTGTCACCCGGTGCGGTTCGCACCCCCCCCCCCCTCGCTACGCCCCTGGTCAGCTCGATGGCCAGTCACCTTTACTTTTCCTACCATAAGACCCATAAGAGCTGGATGGGCACATGGACGTCCTACAGCTACAAGTCCCAACCGAGATCCGAACTCAAGACAAGCAAGCCAGAGTTTCTTCCAGGCATCTCTTCGGGGGTTGTGGGGGGGGGGCACCCCCGAAGGAAGTCTACCCCCCTCCACCGAACGAAATGGAATATAAAAAAAATATACTTTTACCAGTGTCACCCCCCCCCCCCGGAAAATGTTGACCCCCCCCCCCCCCCCGAAAATATCAAGGCCCCCCCCCCCACCCCCGGAGAAAAAAATTATGGAAGAAACACTGAAGCAAGCAGCCAAACCGCACTAGCTAACACTTCAACTTTGTCTTCTGCCCCAGCAGACGGTGGCGTGACGCCATCAACCGTATCCTGGACACGCCCTGGACGACCAGACGACAGTACGGGGACATCGTGCTGCCCAGCTCTTTGAGCGAGTACAACATCAGTCACGTGTTAGTAACATCCATTTCTATTGGTCGGTTATTTTAAGAACACAATGACACTACATTTGTTATTTCTATTGGTCGGTTATTTTAAGAACACAATGACACTACATTTGTTGTAAATAGAGCGCTTGTCATTGTTACGGGGAAATACGTTAAATCTTACTGTTTTTTTTTCTGTCGGGAACTTTGAAATCTCAAATGCCAAAAAATAAATAAAAATAAAATAAAAATAAAAAAAAAATGAGAAAGAAACCCAAATTAAATTATATAAATTAAAGCTTCAAAATTCTATTTTTATATTTTATTTTTTTCTCTTCTTTTTCCTCTTTTTTTTCCATTTTTTTTTTATTTTGTTTATTAAAGACTTAAATAAATTCTATGAATTCATTGACGTACATCAGCTACGACTATTTCATAATGTATTCAGTCTGAAATTTTGGGTATGGTTTAAGATGTCAGAATAATCTGAAACGAAATACAAAATATTACTCCTCATATGCAGTATGCTGAAAGTTTTGTGATTTAATATTTTCTGCGATTTTAACTATTGACTTAGGAATATTTCAAGGTACAATTGCTATTAAAAATAATACTCCACTAATAAAACCGTTTAGGTTTTTAAATCTTTGTGTTTGTCTCCCTTTTACTCTTCAAGTTGTACAACTTGAAGTGAACCATCTCGTGTTTTTGTTTCATTAGTCTAGTTAAATTCTTGTCTGATAGAATAAGGCTTGTCATCATTAGACTAGTTAAATTCTTGTATGACAGTTAGAGTAAGGCTTGTCATCAATAGACTAGTTACATTCTTGTATGACAGTTAGAGTAAGATTTGTCATCAATAGACTAGTTAAATTCTTGTATGACAGTTAGAGTAAGGCTTGTGATCAATAGACTAGTTACATTCTTGTATGACAGTTAGAGTAAGGCTTGTCATCAATAGACTAGTTTTAAATCCTTGCCTGACAAGGCTGGTCATTGACCTTTGGTTTCTTGCAGTGAGTACCCCCTGGTGCTGGGCCTGACGACGGACGGTAACGAGGTGGTTGTCCTGATCTTAGACAAGTCCCAGGCCTACATTGACCCTTGTCTGCTGGACGTTATGTGTGACCCGGAGTTTGACCATCATTTTATACTCAAGTGTAAGGTAGGTACGGCGTCGTGGGGGGGGGGGGGGGTGGGACAAGGTGGGCAGTGGGGTGGAAATGAGGGAGTGTGAAGTGGTAGTAGATATTGGGTTGGTGTGGTAGGTGTGTGTGGTGAGTGTAGAGGGGAGGAGTGTGGTTTGGAGGAGATTTGGAGGAGTGGAGTGTGAGAGTGTGGATGGGAATGTGTGGTGGGAGTGTAGGTGGAAGTGTGGGTTGGAGTGTAGGGTGTGAGTGTAGGCGTGAGTGTGGGTTGGAGTACAGGATGGGGGTGAATAGAGCCACTTGGAATAAAGTTCCTAACACCCCGTTCCCCACCAAACCCCTCCCTTATCACCGTCTCCCCCCAGGCCATCAGCGAGACCCACAGCAGCATGTACGTGGCGCTGGAACTCTGCGACTACACGCTGGCCGAGTACGTCCATATCGTCCAGCTGTCCCACCGCCAGGACCCGCTGTCCGCCAACAGACTGGCGTGGCAGCTGCTCGAGGGCCTCAAGTTCGTGCACCACCATCTGGGCATGCCGCACGGGAACCTCAAGGTCAGCCTCGGTTTGGGGGCGGACCACGTCCCGGTCACGGTTTCTTGTTAAAATTATTTAAAAAATAATGTTTTTGACATTTCGACCTGCCTTAAATTTCTAGAGTTAGAAAAGTTTTTTTTTTTAAATTTTGACCTATTTCATGGCTTCAACTTCAACTATAGTCCGGTCTAGTACTATAGCCTAGTTTACAGCTATACATGCCGTTAGCCATTAAACTTAAATACACATCTAACAACGATTGCTTTGGCAAAAACAAAAAAGAAAAAAAAATCCGTCCTGCATAATCTTGTCTTGAATTGGTTTCCACATAAGAATCGAAATAAGTAAGTTTGAATGAAAAAAATTACACAACTGTTAAAGAAACTTCAATTTTAACAATTTTTTAGCCATCCTGGATATTTGTTGACGTGGAGGGTCGACTACGTCTTGGTGGGTACGGCATCGTGACCAGAACCCCAGAGCCGACTACAGCGGACAGAAATGAAATGGGTAAACAGGGTGATAGAAACATAGACATTTAGTCACTGTAAGAGAGTTACAGATTTCGTTCATGTAGCTACTGTAGGACTCAGTTTTATTTATGAGAGTATTGAGATGATAGGTACTTTTATGATTTGTTAGTGTTTTCAGAGTTTTTTTTTCTTTAACAGCATTCAATGACCTTAACGTAACATAAACCATTGGCTTGTACCTAATATAATTCATAATATAACTTTTGACCTTACCCTAAACCTGACCCTAATACTAATTCAAACCATTTTTATAATCCCAATATAATCTTAATCCTAAATCTCACAAAGATACCTACATACAATGACCTACATAAGACACAGCATTACCCAAATGAAGAAGGCAACACTAAAATGGTCTAGCTGAATGCATTCATCATATCATTATATCCCCCGTCCATAAGTGCATCCCAACAAGACAGAGGCGTAGCGACCCTTCCCGGCGCCCGGGGACAAACTTTCGATGTGCACCCCTCTTCGAACTGTCGATTTACACCCCTCCCCCTCGAACTTTCGATTTGTTTTTCCAACCCATTTTGGCGCCCCCTAAGGTCGGCGCCAGGAGACATATGTCCCACGCCGCCCCCCCCCCCCTCGCTACGCCTCTGCAACAAGACCCAGTGGATACAGAAATCCATTATCCTCATCCATCTCTTCAAGAGTTAAAGGATTTGCATATCTTCTTTTGTTTTAGTCAGGTCAGCTTGCTGGACGTCATCAGAGGATTTAAACACGTCCCAGCCCCAGTCGTCCAAAGCCTCGGACATACAGGTAAAGTATTCTACACTACAAGTTCACCATGAATAACTTAATAAATTAATTTAAAAAAACTATTAACCATCCCAACGCCTTTCTGTTATGCATTATGATCACAGTCCTAATAGGTGCGGAGTCATTCTATTCTGTTATTTCCCTAAGGATGTTTTGTGCATTTCTGTAGGCTGGGGGTTATTCTATTTTTATAAATCTCTCAATGATAAGGTCATTTTATTTGTATACAACAGGTTGCCGGCATGCTGCTGTATTTCATCTTGACGGGGGGCCAGCACCCCTTTGGCACGACGCCCCTGGAGGCCGAGCTAAATATAGCCCGCAGCAGCAGCCAGATGCAGCACATCAGTGAGGAGGCCAATGACCTCGTGTCGGGGATGTTGTTCCCCGACCCTGCGGCACGGCCCACGGTGGAGCATTGCCTCAAGTAAGACAGTGTCAGTCATGCATGGATGATATTTGTAGTAACTTAAGCCTAGTCATGCATGACTGGTATCTTTAGTAAGGCAGAGCCAGTCGTGCGTGGATGATATTTGTAGTAACTTAAGCCTAGTCATGCATGACTGGTATCTTTGGAAACCAGCCTAATCATGTATGGCTAGTATCTTTAGTGACTAGTCCAGTCATGAATGGCTGATATCTTTAGTACCTTTAGCCCATTCATGTTTGGCTAATATATTTAGTACCTTTAGCTTAGTCATGCATGGCGTATGTCTGTGGTAACTATAGCCTAATCATGCATGGCGCATATATATAATAACTATAGCCTAGTCATGCATGGCTGATTTCTTTACAATAGCCATTCGTGACTGCCGCCTAATTCCATCGGCAGTTGGTGGTACTAGTTGCAAAAATAGCTCCACGTGAAAGTTGCATTTTTTCCCCATTGTATTTTATAGCAAATGTCGAACGACATAAAATATAGATTTTGGTTGCCTAAAGTGTTTGACTTCATTTCCGATTTTTTTTAATGTTTATATTGGTACCAAAACTTATACCCACAATAGTAGACATTTAGCGAACATGTTAACAAACATTTCAGAATAGCAAGCTATTATAATTGTTTTTCAAAATAGATGATAACTTGATAAGTTCTGATTTTTTATATGTCAATAGGGCACAGCTCTGAACTAATATACTTTAACTAGGTGATACATAGTTTTACCATGTTCTTAATGATTCTTGTCTATTGTTTTAAAATCTCATGTGTCTAATATTTCCAGGCATCCATTCTTCTGTTTTTAAATCCCACGTTTCTAAAATTTCGAGACATCCATTCTTCTGTTTTTAAACCCACATCTTCTATATATATAATTCTCTTCTGGGAGACGCTAGAAAACAAGCTGTAAACGCGCTCCCTACCACCCCCACCCTTACATGGTCTTAGTGAGCTGTGTTCACTCTAAATGTTTACAAGCAGAGCTGGGTTATGTGACGACTATTAGGGGCAGATAATTTAGTTTGAAACGATTTTAAACGTATGGGGGGGGGGGGGTAACTAAGTGGAGTTTACTTTAACGGAGAGGGGGGGGAGAGGGGGGGGGGGTTATCGTCCTTAACAAGCTACTTATAGTGTTTTAAAGAAATATTTTCAGTGGCAGCGTTGGTACTGTCGAATTCACAAATTATAAATTACTGAAATGTAGAAAAAACAACAACTAAATAGCGTATGTTATGCCGCGGGCCGACTCGTTTGTAATATTTCCAGGCATCCATTCTTCTGTTTTTAAACCCACATTTGTAATATTTCCAGGCATCCATTCTTCTGTTTTTAAACCCACATTTGTAATATTTCCAGGCATCCATTCTTCTGTTTTTAAACCCACATTTGTAATATTTCCAGGCATCCATTCTTCTGTTTTTAAACCCACATTTGTAATATTTCCAGGCATCCATTCTTCTGTTTTTAAACCCACATTTGTAATATTTCCAGGCATCCATTCTTCTGTTTTTAAACCCACATTTGTAATATTTCCAGGCATCCATTCTTCTGTTTTTAAACCCACATTTGTAATATTTCCAGGCATCCATTCTTCTGTTTTTAAACCCACATTTGTAATATTTCCAGGCATCCATTCTTCTGTTTTTAAACCCACATTTGTAATATTTCCAGGCATCCATTCTTCTGTTTTTAAACCCACATTTGTAATATTTCCAGGCATCCATTCTTCTGTTTTTAAACCCACATTTGTAATATTTCCAGACATCCATTCTTCTGTTTTTAAACCCACATTTGTAATATTTCCAGGCATCCATTCTTCTGTTTTTAAACCCACATTTGTAATATTTCCAGGCATCCATTCTTCTGTTTTTAAACCCACATTTGTAATATTTCCAGGCATCCATTCTTCTGTTTTTAAACCCACATTTGTAATATTTCCAGGCATCCATTCTTCTGTTTTTAAACCCACATTTGTAATATTTCCAGGCATCCATTCTTCTGTTTTTAAACCCACATTTGTAATATTTCCAGGCATCCATTCTTCTGTTTTTAAACCCACATTTGTAATATTTCCAGGCATCCATTCTTCTGTTTTTAAACCCACATTTGTAATATTTCCAGGCATCCATTCTTCTGTTTTTAAACCCACATTTGTAATATTTCCAGGCATCCATTCTTCTGTTTTTAAACCCACATTTGTAATATTTCCAGGCATCCATTCTTCTGTTTTTAAACCCACATTTGTAATATTTCCAGGCATCCATTCTTCTGTTTTTAAACCCACATTTGTAATATTTCCAGGCATCCATTCTTCTGTTTTTAAATCCCATGTTTCTAATATTTCCAGACATCCATTCTTCTGGTCCAGCGAAAAGAAGTTCCGTCTGATTTTGATCGTGGGATCTGACGTTCTGACGGAAATGAAGACGGGGTAAGGTCGTGATATAAATGTGACATACTGTTGTATATACCATGTCATTGTATGGCGTCGTTAAAGAAACTATACACACGCTAAAATCTAACCTTAATACTATCTAACATTTTATTCAACAATTAACGAAACCTAAACATCTTTAAAAATATGTTTCTCAATCACCACTAAACATCTCTAAAACTATGATATAAATCCAGAGGCGTAGCGACCCTTCCCGGCGCCCGGGGACAAACTTTCGATTTGCACCCCCCCCCTCAAACTTTCAATTTGACATATGTCCCCCCCCCCCCCCGCTCCCCTCGCTAAGCCTCTGTATAAATCACCACTAAACACCTCTAAAACTATGATCTCAATCACCACCTAACTGCCTGCACATTTTAACTATTAGAATCGCACTTACCGGAAACGGGTCGCCCACCATGATGGAGATACTGAGCGTCCTTGACATTACAGAGGTCAGCCCAAATTGGGTAGGTTTCCTGCGTTAAAAACTGGACCTGCCCTTTCTTTTATGTTCAATCAGCAATTTCAATGTTTGGTATCTTTAACTAAGCAAATACTATTAGAAATTTAAATTTAGATATACAAATCAATCATTTATGTAGGTAGAATACTATTCATTCGATAATTTTTTTAAAAGTTAAATGATTAAATCTTGTGACTAAGATGATGTTAATTTAGATTTGGTATCACCCCCTCTCCCTACATTTTTTTAAACCGGAAAAAATGTTTTGACAGTAAATTTTACAATTTTACGTCGTGTCGTCACCCGCTAAATGTTGTCAACCAGTGCGGATCGCACCCTCCCCTCACCCTCCGCCAGTCTTGTGACTCCACTGTTTATACACGCATAGAATGCGGCTACTTGTCTCAAAGCCGCTGAACAGCTGTGTGCAATAAAAAACGGATCTCTGAATAGTTTAATATCCATGTATTTGACGGTTGAAGACACAGGTGTTTCTCTCAATTAGGTCCAGGCTATCAACCCCATTTCCTCTCCATTAGGTCCAGGCTATCAACCCCATTTCCTCTCTATTAGGTCCAGGCTATCAACCCCATTTCCTCTCCATTAGGTCCAGGCTATCAACCTTATCTCCTCTCTATTAGGTCCAGGCTATCAACGCCATTACCTCTCTATTAGGTCCAGGCTATCAACCCCATTTCCTCTCCATTAGGTCCAGGCTATCAACCTTATCTCCTCTCTATTAGGTCCAGGCTATCAACCTTATCTCCTCTCTATTAGGTCCAGGCTATCAACGCCATTTCCTCTCTATTAGGTCCAGGCTATCAACCCCATTTCCTCTCCATTAGGTCCAGGCTATCAACCCCATTTCCTCTCTATTAGGTCCAGGCTATCAACCTTATTTCCTCTCTATTAGGTCCAGGCTATCAAGCCCATTTCCTCTCTATTAGGTCCTGGCTATCAACCCCATGTCCTCTCTATTAGGTCCAGGCTATCAACCCCATTTCCTCTCTATTAGGTCCAGGCTATCAACCCCATTTCCTCTCTATTAGGTCCAGGCTATCAACCCCATTTCCTCTCTATTAGGTCCAGGCTATCAACCTTATTTCCGTGTCTATTAGGTCCAGGCTATCAACCCCATTTCCTCTCTATTAGGTCCAGGCTATCAACCCCATTTCCTCTCTATTAGATCCAGGCTATCAAGCCCATTTCCTCTTTATTAGGTCCAGGCTATCAACCCCACTGTGATGAAAGAGATGAGGTCCTTCCGTGTGTACAAGAACTGCCTGTCGGAGCTCACATTGTTTATATACAACTGCTGTCTGCACTTTGATAAAATGTAGGTGGGACACAAAGGCCGTTTTCTTAAGATCAGGTGTAGGGCTGTTGCTGGGTTGTTTGTCTGTCTGCTGTCGTGGCGATTAGGGGAGTTTACAGGAGGCGTCGTCTTTGGTTAAAATACAGCAAAAGCCTGTATAACTAGGATCGAAGTGTGAAGTATTACCATAATCTTTATTCTTACTAGTTAACTGCTGATTTAAACAAACACACACACACACACTAAATATATATATATATATATATATATATATATATATATATATATATATATATATATATATATATATATATATATATATATATATATTTATATTTATATGTATATATATATGTATATATACTTATGCATATATGCGAATATATGCTTTTATACATGCATATATACATATATACACACACACACACACACACACACACACACATATATATATATATATATATATATATATATATATATATATATATATATATATATATATATATATATATATATACATACATCTTGTAGGTCAGCTCTAGCTAAAGAAGTTCTGGACGATCCTTGCAAATATTTCCAGGGTTTGTTCCCCTCACTGTTCATGGCCATCTATCGGTCTCTGAAAGCCTCGGACAGGATTGATAGGACCTGCTATAAGCCGTTCTTTTAATTTAAAGGGAGTGGCCAGATACCATTTAGTTGATAGAAAAAACTTGCCAAAAACATAAAAAATATTTTGTGTGAAATATCTGTTACATATCGCGAGACGTGTTTTAAATAGATAGGACTTGGTACGATACATTTCCGCAAACTTTTATGACCTAGTATCACTGTAAAAAATATTTTGACCTCTATGTGAGCTTTCTAAAAGTAATTTAAACAAATTTATCCAGTATTAGTGAAATAGTTTTACATTATTTTGAAATAAACTGGTTGAGGTCATTATGAAAAACACGACAAATGGATTGCGAAAAAAGACAAATCACCATTTCAATTCCTAAATCAGATTTTTTAAAAATGTTGTGTAAAGTAGTTTAACATTTTACTTAGTTTTAGAATAAAAGAATCTCTTTTAATCATTTATTGAGACCTTTTTAAACTTTAAAATTGTATTTTTGTACAATTTACCGTTTAAGGAAACATTTTAATTTGCGTATTTTTATTTTAGTTGTGCTTTTAAGTAAAGAATTACTTTACGTAGGTATAGTTTTACATTCGTTATACAATTTACTAAGCATTCACAGAAAATATCTGCTATATAGGTTTTATTTTTTTTTATCTTAGGTATGCTTTTAATTTAGGTATACATTTGTAGTGTATTTTTATTGTAGGTATACATGTAATTTAGGTATACTTTTATTTTGGAAGATTATTTAAATTTTTTGAAAGTATAATTTTACAACGGCCATTAAATGATCAAAGTTATTTGATCAAATGTTGTTGGTGTTGTTTGTTTCATTATAAATTGAATAGTTTTTTTAATGTGTTTGATCTCGCCATTTAAAATTTTGATTACGAATTAATGTTACGGTTAGTGTTAGGTTTTGGGGTCAAGGTTTGTCCAGCTAGTTACAGCGCGTTGGCTAAAAGTGTATGTCACAATTGTATGACTAATTGCTCGGGTACGCTTGGTAGGGAAAATTCAATTAGCTACTTTAAAAACAACATCTTTACATATGTAAACGTCACATGCTAGTCTTTGTTTTATCATGCTAAAAATAACCCCCCCCCCCCCCCACCCACCACCTTATCCTCATTTAGCCAATCGTTGCGTGCAGCAATTTCATGATACACGCACTTTATTTATGTTGGTTACAAGAGAAAGAATTGGTTGGCACAGTTACTTCGTTGGATAATAAGTACTGGTCTAGACCCCCCCCCCACGTCAATTATCCCTCCGGACATCCCCCCGACATTACCCATCCTGAAGAACACTGACCATAACCCCAAACAACAACCACACACCTACACTTGACCCTAACCCTATCCGTAACTGGGCAGGGGTTAATCGACAGAGGCGGGAGTAACTGACATGGGGGGGGGGGGATAATGTCCTGCTCCCAATCAGCAGTTAGCTAAAGCTAGGGCTGCAAAAATAGCCAGACCGGCAAAAAAAATTTTGTTGCGGCTCCATAGTGTTTTGGTCACTAAAGATGATACATTAATTAGAAAGTAAGATTCCAAACATGTTGATCAATATTTTTTTTCTCAACACGAATTCCCAGCTTCGCATTTTCAACGCTGGGGTCAGACGCCTCCCCCCTCCCCCATAGTAACAACATGCGGGGGTCAGGCGTCCCCCTCTATAATACCAACACTTCCCTTGCAACACCAACATGTAGGGTCAGACATCTCCGCCCCAGTAGTGTGGGGTCAGGCGTCCCCCTCTATAATACCAACACCCCCCTTGCAACACCAACATGTGGGGTCAGACATCTCCGCCCTATAGTGTGGGGTCGGGCGCACCCCCCTCCTTCATAGTACCAACGTGTATTAAATCTGCCACAACCCACTTGTATCCAATAAATCAATCGATCGCTCGTGTCGTTCGCTCAATCACTCACGGTGGGCGGTCTCACTTCTGGGAGGTTCGCCATGGGAAGGGGTCGCATTGCGGTCAGGGTCACATAACTGACGTGGTTCAGTGACAGGTTATCTGTCGTCAGGTGGGTTAGGGCTTAATCAAGGTAACACAGGTGACCAGAAGGTCATCCCTGAGCAGAGTTAATTACGATCTACCCTCAAACTCCAGGTAATCGGAGATCTACCCCTGTCCAAAGGTAATCTGATATCTACCCCAGATATCTTCTTCGTTCTTCTCCCACTTTTTCTCTGCACACACATTTATTATGCGTTCTTTTAGGTGTATGCACTTCATTCAGTGATTTTTTAAAATTAATTATTTTTTTTTGTGTGTGTAATTTACAGCGTCAGTTTGCCTTGCATGTTCGCTTTAGTATTACAGTTTTCATCATCGGCTTCTGAGGACTGATACAGATTTACCATAGTAATATTTCTTTCTTACTTGTAGCCTACTTTCATTCATTTAAGATGGTTTACTTATACATAGATCTAATACAAAACGTCTAACTATAAAAGAAAAGAATAAAAAAAAACAACCTAAAAATGCACCATCGGCTTGGTGGGCTGAGGGGGCGGGAGATTTGGGTTTTTAAGTAGAGCTGAATTAAATTTGGGATTACAGAGAAGTAAAATGATACAAATTATAGGCAATCGGAAAAGTTTTGTTATTACAACGAGACACTTCAAAACTTGATTCAGTGATATGTTTAAAAAAAAATTACATTCGTGATTGGTAAATGCATCGGTCATAATACTGTTGACTGTAATAGTTCAAACATTATTAAATGAGGTATGCTGTACGACTAAAGTTTTTTAGAATTAAATTTTGATCAAATAATAATTTTATGATAATAAATTTAAACATTAGTACCATTATTATGCCAACCCTTAAAAATAACTTGTAATGCATTATTGAATCAATTAATTATTTATATTTTAAATGTTTATATTTTGTGACCATCTGTATTTTAAATATTTTTTGTTAACACGATTCTAGCTTATTTCCCTTGATAGATTAAGTTTTAAAAAATAGGAAGTAAATAACACATTTATATTTATAATTTATTTATTGTCGGATTCAGCCCTCCCCCCCCCCCCCCCCCCCTGTCTCAAACATTCTGTGTCTTTAACATTGTAGGGTTCAGTCTTACGGCAGTTCCGCCCCTGCCCCTATCTCGTGGCAATGGTTGGTGATGGGTTGACGTAAATAAACGTAGGCTAACATAACCGACAGATCAGGCTCGATGGTAAGGGACAGCCACTCTTCTAGGAGAGACAACTCCTAACTTAAACAACTACTGCCTTGTAGTTTGTTCTTGGTTGGACAAAGGCTATGGAAGCAAATCCAGAAAGAAAAGCAGGCTGAAATCGGAGTCAATGGCCTCAATGGCGCATAACCAGTTGACACGTAATATTTAATTGTGTTGGAGGGAATCTTGTCCAGTATTAGAATCAAGAACGAAGAAGACCCCCGAAGGAGGCCCCCCCCCCCCCTAACCGAACGAAATGGAATTAGTATAGAAAATATATACTTGTATCATTCCTCCCCCCTCAGGAAAATTTAGTCCGACCCCCCCCCGAAAATAATTAGTCCCCCCCCCCTTACCCGGAGAAAAAAAGTCTCGAAGAAACACTAATATGTGTTGATTGAAAGTGTCAGCGGGGTTGGAGTAAGGGGGTAGGTTGGCTTTAGTGCTGAGCATGATATTACGCGGTAGACAACTTCTTCAGTAAACCTGTCAGAAATGAGTTCGTTTGTCTGGTTTGATAGTGTCAAGTTCCCATTTCGAACATGAAGGTCCACGGGGTAAATAAAGTAGAGTTGATCTGTTTCTTGACCTTGACAAATGTAGGGATAGTGTGGTCAGCACTCTGGCCAGCCGCCTTTAGTTTCCTGGATAGTGTATGACCTTTCAATTTGTAGCCTCACTCTCGACTTCACACTCAAGTCTGGTGGACCCCAAATTTTTTGGACCCACGCATCTCGGTACGGTCGTGTCAGGGAGTGATCAAACGTTAAAGTTTTCACAACTGACAAGTTCACACATGACGGATGTGACGTAGTTGACACGCTTCATCACCCTCGCCTCGCGCGCAGGGTCAGTAATTAATGTCGTGAACTACTTGATCACATTTTGTTCTGGACACTTCTGGAGATGGGAACCCCCTAAGTCTCGACCGGCACCTACAGACACATAACTTTACAGCATAGCACAGCCTTGGTATTTCAAAGATTAAAACTTCTGATAAACTGACAAAAGGATTATACTGTGGGATTATTTTCTTGTAAAACGTCTGTTGTGAAGCGATAACTAAATTTTCAGCATTGTTATTTTAAGAAAGTTTTGTGTTGGATATAATTCGAATAGTAAATAAGTTTAAAAAAAAACTCTCTAGAATCGTCTGGACTCTAGAAACTCTAGAATAGTGTGGTACCAAAAAACTCTATAATAGTGTGGTACCAAAAAACTTTAGAATCGTGTGGTACCAAAAAACTCTAGAATTGTGTGGACTCTAGAACTGCGTGGTATCAAAAAACTCGCGTGGACTCTAGAATAGTGTGGTACCAGAAAACTCTATTGTGGTACCAGAATACAATGCTTGTAGCTTGTGTGGTGAGCTATCGAGTCGTGCTGTGATGACGTGGACCATGGAACGTGTACTCATATCGGCTGCTGTGTTCTGGTTGCTTTGTTTACAAACATCACAGGCGAACTTGCAGACGTGTAAGTATTTTTTTGTGTGTGGTCACACTTGCAGATTTAGGTCTCGAACCCATATTTAGTTCCCACTGATGTGGATTATTTCTCTTGTTGTGTTTTTGTTCATGGTAATTTAATTGTGGTTTAGCAGAGTTTCTTTTTTTTTTTAAATTTAAAGTAAAATGCTTTCATGCTTGGGTGATTGAGGTATAAAGAAAAAATCATGGGCGACCCTCCCTTTAACACCTCAGCATGCTGGGAGGGGGTCAGAGTCGACCCACCTCACCACGAAGAACTACACTACCTAAACTTAGGCAACACCAATAAAAATTTATTTTATGGATAAAAAAAGGGAACCCGTCGCGCTCTGCTTATTAAAATAGAAGAAAGGAAATTCAAGGACACTGAATATAATAACCCAAGTTTATTTTATGTTATTTTTTTATTGAAACGTAGTATTCATTTATATATGTAAAACATGCCAAAGTGTCGTTTGAATTCAGTTTATTTATTCTAGTGCCTGTGGATAACTGTATTCTTTGTTTTGTTTTTCCGCCTGTTACATGAATAAATCAGAAAGTAATCCAACGCGTGAGCTGGTCGCACGCAGTTGTCCACTAGAGAAGCATTTTTTTCCATTCGGGCATTTGTCGCATTTGGGCAAGTTTCCATTTGAGCATTTGTCGCATTCCGGCAATCGTCCATTCGGGCATTTGTCGCATTTGGGCAAGTTTCCATTTGGGCATTTGTCGCATTTGGGCAAGTTTCCATTTGGGCATTTGTCGCATTCCGGCAATCGTCCATTCGGGCATTTGTCGCATTTGGGCAAGTTTCCATTTGGGCATTTGTCGCATTCCGGCAATCGTCCATTCGGGCATTTGTTGCATTTGGGCAAGTTTCCATTTGGGCATTTGTCGCATTCGGGCAAGTGTCCATTCGGGCATTTGTCGCATTTGGGCAAGTTTCCATTTGAGCATTTGTCGCATTCCGGCAATCGTCCATTCGGGCATTTGTCGCATTTGGGCAAGTTTCCATTCGGGCATTTGTCGCATTTGGGCAAGTTTCCATTTGGGCATTTGTCGCATTCCGGCAATCGTCCATTCGGGCATTTGTCGCATTTGGGCAAGTTTCCATTTGGGCATTTGTCGCATTCCGGCAATCGTCCATTCGGGCATTTGTTGCATTTGGGCAAGTTTCCATTGGGCATTTGTCGCATTCGGGCAAGTGTCCATTCGGGCATTTGTCGCATTTGGGCAAGTTTCCATTTGGGCATTTGTCGCATTCCGGCAATCGTCCATTCGGGCATTTGTCGCATTTGGGCAAGTTTCCATTTGGGCATTTGTCGCATTCCGGCAATCGTCCATTCGGGCATTTGTCGCATTTGGGCAAGTTTCCATTTGGGCATTTGTCGCATTCCGGCAATCGTCCATTCGGGCATTTGTCGCATTTGGGCAAGTTTCCATTTGGGCATTTGTCGCATTCCGGCAATCGTCCATTCGGGCATTTGTCGCATTTGGGCAAGTTTCCATTCCGGCAAGTGTCCATTCAGGCAAGTGTCCATTCGGGCATTTGTCTTTCGGTACAACGCCCGGCTCCCCATAAAGAGACACAGCGTTGTGTTCATCAACTCCATAGGTTACGATGTAGAGAGGGATTTTGGGGCTAGGCCAGGTCGAAGCCTTCAACTCAATCAACTTTATCTCCTCTATATTTCCATACCGGCTATTACCCAAATCAATGTTATCTCGGTTACAACCTATTTGATCTCCTCTAAATTTAAACAACAATTACTACTGCAACCTATTTGATCTCCTCTAAATTTAAACAACAATTACTACCGCAACTAATGTGATGTCCTCTCAATTTCTATAACAATTACTACAGCATCCGATTTGATCTCCTCAAAATTTCTATAACAATTACTACTGCAACCTATTTGATCTCCTCTATATTTCTATAACAATTACTACTGCAACCTATTTAATCTCCTCTAAATTTCTATAACAAATACTACTGTAACCAAAATGATCTCCTCTAAATTTCCATAACAATTACTACCGCAACCTATTTGATCTCCTCTATATTTCTATAACAATTACTACTCCAACCTATTTGATCTCCTCTAAATTTCTATATCAATGACTACAGCAACCAATTTGATCCCCTCTAGATTTTCTCGACGACTACTGCTCCAACACGCTCAACATGGACGCCGCCCGCATCACCGCTGGACGTCTCCTGCTACACAAACCTGACCAGCCTCTGAGGAACCTGGACTGTCACATGACCATCCTGGCACCGTCCAACAAACGGCTGACCTTCAAGTTCCACCAGTTCAACCTCAACTCACCCCAAGGGTGCAGCAACAACCACCTGCAGATCTATGACGACAGGCTCCTGAAGATTCCCCTCACAGGTAGGGATAGGGGCGGTTGGGATAGGGTCGGTTGGGGTCGGTTGGGGTCGGTTGGGGTCTGGTCGGTTGGGATAGGGTCGGTTGGGGTCTGGTCGGTTGGGGTCGGTTGGGATAGGGTCGGTTGGGTTAGGGTCGGTTGGGATAGGGTCGGTTGGGATAGGGTCGGTTAGGGTCGGTTGGGGTCGGTTAGGGTCGGTTAGGGTCGGTTAGGGTCGGTTGGGGTCGGTTAGGATAGGGTCGGTTGGGGTCGGATAGTAAATTGGACCCCATGATCAGTTTCGTAGAACGTCCCTAAGTGCATCCAGCTCTGATATGTAACTGACTTATGAGAGAAAGTAAAGGCATTTGGGCATAGTACTGACCACACTATCACTATAAGTGCCGAAATAACAAAAACATATGAGATCAAATTTATCTTCCCCATGAACCTACATATTCAAATGGTAATTTTGTTAAAAATTGGCTAGCCATAGTCACATGATTTTTTCTGTTAATACACAACGTAGCTTAAACTCAACCTTAATTGGCTATCCTGATTATTTGTTTTTGCAACTCAGTTATTAAAAGTTTTTTTTTACCTAAGATGAACCTACATATTCAAATGGTAATTTTGTTAAAAATTGGCTAGCCATAGTCACATGATTTTTCCTGTTAATACACAACGTAGCTTAAACTCAACCTTAATTGGCTATCTTGATTATTTGTTTTTGCAACTCAGTTATTAAAAGTTTTTTTTACCTAAGATGAAAATTTCTAAAACGCTACTGAACTTTTGTTTATTTATGCTAAACATTTGTTTACCTATGTTGAATATCGTTATGTCGACAACTTGTTTACGTATTTAACTATGTTTAACTATGTGTAACATCTGTTTACCTATGTGTAACATTTGTTTACCTATGTGTAATATTTGTTTACCTATGTGAAACATTTGTTTACCTATGTGTAACATTTGTTACCTATGTGTAATATTTGTTTACCTATGTGTAACATTTGTTTACCTATGTGTAATATTTGTTTACCTATGTGTAACATTTGTTACCTATGTGTAACATTTGTTTACCTATGTGTAATATTTGTTTACCTATGTGTAACATTTGTTACTTATGTGTAACATTTGTTACCTATGTGTAATATTTGTTTACCTATGGCTATGTGGAACATTTGTTTACCTATGTAAAACATTTTTTTTACCTGTTCCCCCCCCCCACACACTCTTCTAGACGAGCTGTGTAACAGTAGAGTGCCCAACAAAGCCTACGTCACCTCCACCGAGGCTGGTTCTCTCCGACTCAAGAAGGAGCAGTTCCACAACGATCAGTTTGATGTCGTCTTCACAGCTTTCACCTTTTGTGAGTACCTACGTCAGGTGTGTCTGTGTCAAGTGTATCAGTGTGGGTGTGCTCCTGTGTCAGGTGTGTCAGGCGTGTGTGTACCTGTGTCAGGTGTGTCAGTGCGTGTGGGTACAAGTGTCAGGTGTATATGTGTCAGGTGTGTCCGGTGTATTTACCTGTGTCAGGTGTGTGTGAATACCCGTGTGAAGGGTATCACAGTGTGTGGGTATCTGTGTCAGATATGTCAGTGTGTGATGGTACCTGTGTCAGGTGTGTATGAGTACATGTTTCATACACGTCATGTCATGTGCATACCTGCGTCAGCTGAGCCACATAGCTATAAGGGTCCTCCCTATCACATTCACCAATCAAAGTCATTGTTTACAAAATCTTAAAAATTAAACTATTCCGTTTCATCCCAGCCCCATGCACAGGAGGTGAGTACGCATGCGCCAACGCCCACTGCATCGCCAGCGAACTCTACTGCAACGGCTACGATAACTGCGGCGACGAGTCGGACATCTGCCTACTGCGGGCGGGGGCCGTCATTGCCATCATCATCGCCGTCTCCGTCATCGTCGTCATCCTCGCTATCGTCCTCGGCGTTTACCTCTTTCGTCGCCAGAGGAGGATTAGACGAGAGAGGGTGTCCGGCTGATGGGTGGATGAATCAAAGAGAGATAACTCATTTTGACTCTGAGAAAATTTAATTTCATTATTATTTCCCTTCTATACATGTATATTATTATCAGTTTTATTTTATTTTTAAAAGACGGCAGGTTGCAATATCACATTAAGTGTGAGAAGAAGCAGCGGTTGTATTTGCTTGCATGCATACACTTGTATGCATTTTCCAGATATTTTGTTACTAATAAAACGTGTAAAATATCTTTATTGGGTTCGCTTACAAAAGTTTCCAAACATATACACATTTACAACATTTTTGAACAATATTGAACTTTGTTCGAGGTGTGTGTCCAACCGCCAATCTGCTGATTACTGGCAGCATATACGCTAGTTTGGCCAGCTACTTTCCGGCTACTTCGGAAAAATTAACCGCCTATATTCCGTATAGATCCTGTGGGCAACAACGTCCACGCAATTTGAGAAATACATTTAAAAAAATACATAGAAACACACTCTTGTATTAACAAAAGGAATTACAAGTGTGGAAGAAGTCGTGAAATTGCCCGTGTCTTTTTAGCGCAATTTCCATTCTGGAGAATTGCGTTTATTAACTCGTCATTTCTGGGAATGGATGGATGTGTGTCCGCAGCTTTAAGTCGTAACTCCTCCTGAACGAAGCAATATCGAGGACTAGTTCCAAAAGCAAATATGTTTAGCAAGTTCCGAGGATAATTGTAGGCCAAAAAAATTCCCGGGTTTCCTTCCTGGATTTTTAAAAAAATAACCCGAATGAAGTTATACTATATTTAAATGAACTATGTGATCATGAAAACACAAAACGTAAACTAGAAGATGGTATTTGAAGAATTTTATTTATAATATTGTACTTTTAGTAACCCAATACTCTAATAATAAATGTCCAAATGACGAATCATTCAAATATTGAAAGCGAGCATGTCGTAGGTCTCCACGTTCATCGAAAACTTTTTTTATGGGCTCTTCACATTCGAAGCTGAGCTTTGAGCCCGATAGAAAGAAACATACAGGCCTTAAAGAGTAGTACATGAACATTATGGCCCCGAATCTAAAGCGCTTCATAAGAGTACTAGTGGGATAGGGGATGGAGGTGTGATGGTCCCAAACGTATAAAACTTGAAGTTTTTGTTGCAAAATCCAAGAGAATTTCACGGTCTGCAATTCTTTACATTACCTGTTCTGTGGGTTTTTAGATGAGGGATTCACACGTGTGTACCAGCTGTTGACTTTTAAGCCATGGCTTTACATCAACATAAGATCACATGTCACATATTTTTTTCACATAAAACATAACATTATGAAAACAGGCTGTTGTAGATTATCTTGAGAAGGGTGAAAACAGCTAGCTATGAGTAGGGTGTTTGGAGCGTGTGTGATGTTCATTTGTGCTGTAGTGGTGGGGGTAGGGTAAACTATTGGTGTGTGATGGTTATTTGGGTAGAAAACTAATTGTGTGTAATGTTCAAATCTGGGAGGACTGATGGTAAGTTAACTAGCCATAGACGTATGAGTCTCAGACCACATTCAACAAACACCAATACGTTGCCACGCTTACGACGTTTTAGTGAAGAATGGGACGTGACACGGGGACTGGCGTGACACTTATATTCGTGACACTGACATTCATATAATGGACAAACACAACATTGACAGACGTGACATTCCCTAACGTGATACCGAGAAATGTGACCGTGGTAGATTGGTGACGTGACGCCGAATTAACGTGACGAATGTTATACTGACTAACGTGACGCTAACAAAAGTGACGCTGGAAAACAAGACAAGCCAATACATCACGTGACATTTAAAACCGTGACATTAGAATCCACATGACGAGAAAATTAATCAGATGTTGAAAACCCTGACATTAACAAAATATGACAACCAGTGACGTGGCATTAAAAACTGTCGCACTAAACAAACGTGACATACCAGACGTGACATCAATACACGTGACATTAATATACGTGACTCTAAATACTTTACGTCAAGCGAGTGTAAAACAAGAATGACTTGGAACAAGCAGTGGTGACCCTAAAAACTGATGTCTAACGTGACTCTAGTGTGACCTCACATGACACTGACGTGACCTCACATGACACTGACGTGACACTAACGTGACTAGTGTGACCTCTCTAACGTAACACTAACGTGACTCTAGTGTGACCTCTCTAACGTGACACTAACGTGACACAAACAACGTGAACCAAACAATACAACATTTTCCAACTATTAGAGACCCCACAAAGAACAACTACACAATACGCGGTCTCACTTAGATAAACTCTACTTCATCTACTCTATGGACTGTCGAGTCTGAAATGATACTTAAAAAACAATGACATTGCTAAGGTAGCCATAACATTTACATAAGCTATAGACAATCAACAAGAACAAATTTGACAATTACACATATACTAATTACTTAACTTTGGACATACGGTACGTACTTTGGCTTATATACATATAAGTGTTTAATTTTTTTTTATGTAATCTATAGACACGACTAGCAACACATAAGGTACTTTTGAAATACCAATCTTGCATCAGTAAAATGCATATAAGAAACGTTTTGTGGAAGGAAACAATATTTAAAGCACCTTGTTTATAATTTATACACATTTGCTCTTGATAATTCAGTGGTTTAATTTGAAAACATATTTTGGCCTTGCATCACCCAATTTGGCCGCATTTTCGAAAAAAAAATTCCCCCTTTAAATACATTATTTTTGTAACTGGCCAGATTTATTTGCCACGATTAAGTAATTTTTTTCCCCAAAACTTCCGTGAATACAAGGGTTTGTCAAAAAGCCAAAAAAATGTGATTTGTAAAAATAAATATTTAGAGAAATTATCTACTTCATGGTTATCATTAACATATAAATATATCATAAGAGGCTATTCTTTAAATCCTAAAACTACACGTTCAAAAGACGTAGTTTTGTGGGAGTTCAACCCGTATTCTTCTTTGAGCTCATCCGTTGGGAAGAAAGCGGGTTCCTCTTCTTTGAGTAAAGGGTACCCGAAGTGGCGCATCAGGGCCAGTCCGGGTATCCACAAGACGGAGGAGAGGATGAGGAGTAGGGCCAGCATCTTGCACCACCACGGCCAGGGGACAGCCACGGCCACACCCTGCAAGAATGGAAGATACGAGAACAAATTGGAGCGGGATGAATTGGCGATGTAGCTTGTCTCTAACTAGTCCTATATAATTGGTTAATGGCATTGCGATTTAAGCATGGATCATATTAACCCACGTATTCAAATCACACAATTATAATGCAACATTGGTTAAATAACATTTTAAACATCCAACACAAATTTTTCATCATCCCACACCATTCACAATTCTACCCACCCCTTATTCATCCACCAAAAAACCATCTATCATATCAAGTCATTCACAATTAAACATATTAAACTTCTCAGATTATTCAACGATAAACCAACACTCCTCCACATTACCCACCATAAATCCCATATCTTCCATCTACCAACCAATCCATCCATCCCATCATCCATCCACCATCCCGTATTGTTAACCAATAAACCAACCCATCTATCAAACCCATCCACCACATCTCCAATCCACCATCCCAAATCCCACATCAGTGATCCATCCACCATCCAACATAATCAATCCATCAACCCATCCATCATCCCACATCATTCACCTATCCACTATCCCACATCATTTGACAATCAACCTATCCACCATCCACCAATACCTAACCACCATCCAACATAATCCATCCATCCACCATCCAACATAATCAATCCATCAACCCATCCATCTTCCAACCACATTCACCTATCCACTATCCCACATCATTCGACAATCAACCTATCCACCATCCACCAGTACCTAGCCACCACCAAACATAATCCACCCATCCACCCATCCACCATCCCACACAACCCACCCACCAGCCCCCACCATCCACCCATCCACCATCCCCCACCATCCACCACCCATCCCCCACCTTGCTGGCGTCCCATGTGTCGTACAAGACCCCCTTGGCCATGACCTCGATGATGCTGGACACCAGGATCAGGACGACAGCTACGGGCATCAGGAACCTCCAGCAGAGCAGCCAGAAGTGGGAGGGTCTCTTGCCCAGCATCAGCTCGATGTCATCGCTTATCCTAGGATACAACATTAGTTTGATAACATCGCTTATCCAACATTATTATCTTAATATCATCACTTATCCTAGGATACAACATTAGTTGAACAGCATAGCTTATCCTAGGATACAACACTAGTTGAACAGCATAGCTTATCCTAGGATACAACATTAGTTTAACGTCATCACTTATCCTAGGATACAACATTATCTTCTTAATATCATCGCTTATGCCGTGAAACAACATTATCTTAATATCATCAATTATCCTAGGATACAACATTAGTTTAACGTCATCATTTATCCTAGGATACAACATTAGTTTAACGTCATCGCTTATCCTAGGATAAACCTTAGTTTAATATCATCACTTATCTTAGGATGCAACATTACCTTAATACCATCACTTATCCAGTGAAACAACATCGTCTTAAAACCATCACTTATAGTAAGATACAACATTATCTTAATGATCACTTATTCTAGGATACATCGTTATCTTAATATCATCACTTATCCTAGGATGCAACATTATTTTAATCAACACTTATCGTAAATTGTGGGATACAACATTATCTTAATATCATCACTTATCCAAGGATACAAAATTATCTTAATATCATCACTTATCCTAGGATAAATTATTCTCTTAAAGTTAATACGACTATCAAAAAATATTACAGCAGTAGAATAAATAGTGTAATCGTTGTTTTTAAATCCTCACCATGATCGCTTTCGACTGGTAACAATTACAATAATTTTTAAATTAGCTTTGAACGTCCAACCAGCCATATTACAATCTTGAGCTCTAGCCCATGACCAGGGGAGTGAATGCTGCAGTACTCACTGTTTGAGGCCGTAGATGTAGGAGATGGCCACACACTCGATGAAGCCGACGATGAGGAGGGGGATGTTGGCGCAGAAGGAATCAAACAGCTCAAAGACGTAGGGGCCGGTGGAGGTGGCGAAACACATGGACAGGATCAGGCAGATTAGACACACCGTACCTGTGGGAGGAAAGGTGGGAAAATGTGAGGAGGAAGGTGGGGGACAGATGAAAGTTGGGAAATTGTGTGGGAGAAGGTGGGGGACTGAGATGAAACTGGGAAAATGTGTGGGGAAGGTTGGAAAGTGTGTGGGGGAAGATGGGAAAATGTCAGAGGAAGGTGGAAAAATGTGAGATTAGGAGGTGGTGTAAGGTGGGAGACTAAGATGAAAGGTGGGAAAATGTGAGGAGGAAGGTGGGAGAGGTGCGAAAATAAAAGATAAAAGGTGTTAAACAATATATTTTAAAAAGTTCCCCTTCCAAACCTGACGGTCTATAGGGCAAGTGAAGTAGAGTTCACCTGTTTCTGTGACCTCTGCATTTGAAGGGATAGTGTTGTCAGCACTGTGCGAAGCAGCCTTTACTTTCCCTAACATGAGTTAGGTACCCATCAGAGCTGGGTGGACTCACGGACGGTCTACTAACTTGAACCAGGATTCGAACTCGAGACTTATGCATTAGCAGTCTAGCTCTATACCGCTAGGCTACTCAAACCCAGAAACTACATTAAAGTGTGACAAAATGATTTAATCAGAGGAACAGAAGTTAGCATATTACAAGAAAAACTTTAAAATATTAAATCAAATATATCTATACACCTTATAGTAGTTTGCCCACCACACATACCACAAACAATTGTAGTTCACCACACCTATATATGACATGAATCCACTACACGTATCCCATAGATAAAATAAATAAATCCACCAGATTCATCATTTCATACATTAACCACACCTACCACACACAACCTCTTTCCTAACACGAGGGAACAGCATCATATCATTCAGCGACGTGATGGCGCCCTCGAGGGTGCCAAACATTGAGTCCAGCCCGAGGGTGAGTAACATCAGGAAGAAGAGCACCGCCCACAGTGGTGCCAGGGGGAACTGGTTGATGGCCTCAGTGAAGGCGATAAACGCCAGGCCAGTGCCAGAGGCCGACTGGGAACAATATACATAATGATATATATATATATATATATATATATATATATATATATATATATATATATATATATATATATATATATATATACACAAATTGGTAAATAAATATACAACTATGTATAATAATATGTATATTGATATATTATTTTAGACATTAAGAGCTCAATTGTTGACTAAATATTTAAAATGTACTTAAAGAAACATTAGAGACAGTTTGTCTAGCTTTGATCGACATATTTAATTTTACGCCACCACTAAAGCAGCTAATGAGCAATCTTGTATTCACCTCGGAGATTATCTTCTGAAAGTCACACTCGGGGTGTTCTCGTGATGTATCGTTGAAGCCGTGCTTCTCGCGACATGTGTTGTACTGCATTGTGGCCTTGAACCCTGAACGTTTATAAAACACATTTAGATTTACTGTCTTACATCAACAAAACTTTAATTCCTCTTACTTTCGAACAAACATAGAAAAAAAAACGAAAAACGCTCTAAATTTTTTAGAGCATACTAATAAAAGACCCAATGGTTGCTTTCTTACGCTTACTAAAATGATTCTATCATAAATCTGTTTTTTTCTTCTTGTTACCAATCACTGCTATTTGATTGTGATGGTGTATTGATGATTGGGGTGGTGGATAGATGGATGATTGATAGAATAACTTTCAGCTGTAAATTATTAATATAAAACAAAAAATGAAATTAACCCCTTTACGCCCCTCCACCCACCATACCATCATACGCCAGTTTCACCTTCCCGTAATCACTTTTTTACCATCATCCCAGCATCCCTCTGACCACTAACCCCCCCCCCCCCCCCCCACACACACACACTCACTCACCCCCTACCATTGTCTCACCTAAAATACAAAACACGACGACGGCAGTGAAGATGGAGGTGAAGAAATCACAGATTGTGACGATGAGGGTGTCACGCAGGAAGTCACTCCTGACGGGGTTGTAGGAGGCCAGAGCTATCAGGCACCCGAACCCCAGCCCGAAGGAGTAGAAGATCTGGGTGGCAGCGTCCAGCCAGACTTCGGGGTCAAACAGTCGGTGCCACTGGGTGGGGGAGAAAAAGTAGAGATTCTTCTTTAGATATGTTGGGTAGTTGAGTGGTGTTCATTTGTTTCTCGACCTCGGCATTTGAAAGGATGATGTGGTCAGCACATTACCTCGACTCTACCCACAAATAGGTGTATGAGACAACAACTGACCTCAGACACAAAGAGGTGCATCAGTCGACTCACCTCAGGTACAAAAAGGTGCATCAGTCAACTCACCTCAGGTACAAAGAGGTGCATCAGTCCCCTGTCAACAACACACCTCAGGTACAAAGAGGTGCATCAGTCGTTTGTTAAAAACTGACCTCCGGTAAAAAGAGGTGCTTCAGTCAACAACACACCTCAGGTACAAAGAGGTGCATCAGTCAACTCATCTCAGGTACAAAAAGGTGCATCAGTCAACTCACTTCAGGTACAAAGAGGTGCATCAGTCCCCTGTCAACAACACACCTCAGGTACAAAGAGGTGCATCAGTCAACTGCCCTCAGGTACAAAGAGGTGCATCAGTCAACTCACCTCAGGTACAAAGAGGTGCATCAGTCAACAACTGACCTCAGATATAAAGAGGTGCATCAGTCAACTCATCTCAGGTACAAAAAGGTGCATCAGTCAACTCACCTCAGGTACAAAGAGGTGCATCAGTCAACAACACACCTCAGGTACAAAGAGGTGCATCAGTCAACTCACCTCAGGCACAAAGAGGTGCATCAGTCCCCTGTCAAAGCCCTCCAGTGTTATCCCACGGAAGAAAAAAATCACCAGAACAAAGTAAGGGAATGTGGCTGTGACGTAGACGACCTGTGGAAATGGAAACAAGAGTTATCTCTCTTACAGAATTACAACTGCAATTTAAGAAATCACTAAATTATCTCCCTTACAGAATTACAATTTTAGAAATCACTAAATTATCTCTCTTACAGAATTACAACTACAATTTTAGAAATCACTAAATTATCTCTCTTACAGAATTACAACTACAATTTTAGAAATCACTAAATTATCTCTCTTACAGAATTACAACTGCAATTTTTAGAAATCACCAAATTATCTCTCTTACAGAATTACAATTTTAGAAATCACTAAATTATCTCTCTTACAGAATTATAACTACAATTTTAGAAATCACTAATTATCTCTCTGACAGAATTACAACTACAATTTCAGAAATAACTAAATTATCTCTCTTACAGAATTACAACTACAATTTTAGAAATCACTAAATTATCTCTCTTACAGAACTACAACTACAATTTTAGAAATTACTAAATTATCTCTCTTATAGAATTACAACTACAATATTAGAAATTACTAAATTATCTCTCTTACAGAATTACAACTACAATTTTAGAAATCACTAAATTATCTCTCTTACAGAACTACAACTACAATTTTAGAAATTAATTAATTATCTCTCTTACAGAATTACAACTACAATTTTAGAAATAGCTAAATTATCTCTCTTACAGAATTACAACTACAATTTTAGAAATTACTAAATTATCTCTCTTACAGAATTACAACTACAATTTAAGAAATTACTAAATTATCTCTCTTACAGAATTACAACTACAATTTTAGAAATCACTAAATTATCTCTCTTACATAACCACAAGCTACATTTTAGGAATCACAAAGTTATCTCGCTTACAAAATTGTATCTTTTTTTAGAAATGCGTCAAAGTATTGTTGTTTTAGAAAAACAAAATCTGCTGGCTATCAAAAACAAACCGCACCTCCAATATTCTCTTGCATAAATATAATTTACAAAAAAAATAAATAATAGCTATTGATTTTTAATCAACGTTAGAAATATTGTTTTCTTTCCACGCTAAGAAAAATAATATCAATAACACTATTACTATGACAGCCAAACATGGTTCAGTTAATTTTTTTTAAAAGACAAAAATATTTAGCCTGTTAAACCAGAACTTTTATTAAATTAACTTTTATTGTTTTGCAAATACTTTATTATCTTAATGACGACACCATTAATTATGGTATAGATATTTTTATATAACAGCTAGACAAAAGAAGGTTTTTCATTTTATGAAAAATATTATCGGATGTCATGTTATGCGAGATGACACCACTAAAGGATATCCAATATATGACATCTACGGTGTAGCACCTATGAAATGACATTCACTAAATGACAACCAAAACCGGAAAACATGCCTTAATAATAAATAACACTAACCTTACATCTTGAAAAAAATAAAAAAATAAAATAAATAGGTAAAACTTAAAAAGATACGAAAGATTATGGGAACGAAAGCTATTTAACATAATTATACAGATTCGTGCAAATATCAAGTAGTAATAAGTACGTACAAATATCGAAAAGTACAAAAAATGTATTGCAAATATAAAAAAGGAGGCTATACAAAAACTTGCAAATATCGAAAAGTACAGAAAAATCTTACATATATGAAAAAGTGTTGAAAAACTAGCCGATACGGAATAGTTAAGAAAAAGTATTTTTAAAAAAGCGCATATCGACAAATACAGAAGAAGCAGACACAGATCTGACCAATCTCACCTTCCCCGTTGACTTGATGCCCTTTAGGATACACAGAAAGACGACCGTCCATGCTAGGACCAGCCCCAGCGCTATCTTCCAGTTAAACTCCGGACTGGACTCGATGCTGGGCGCCGTGTTGAGGGTAGAGCGGTACCAGAAGTAACTGGGTGGGCTGCTTTTCTTGCAGAGACAAGGTGGGGTCAGGTTAGATACAGGGGCGTGGTGAATTGGGTGTTGGGGTGGGGGGGGGCAGGTTAGATACAGGGGCGTGGTACATTGGGTGTGGGGGCAGGTTAGATACAGAGGCGTGGTACATTGGGTGTGGGGGGCAGGTTAGATACAGGGGCGTGGTGCATTGGGTGTTGGGGTGGGGGGGGGGGCAGGTTAGATACAGGGGCGTGGTACATTGGGTGTGGGGGGCAGGTTAGATACAGGGGCGTGGTGCATTGGGTGAGTGTGAGTGTGTGTGTTTGGGAGGGTGGGTCAGGTTAAATACAGGAGTGTGGTGCATTGGGGGGGGGGGACAGGTTAGATACAGGGGCGTGGTGCATTATGTGCGTGTGGGGGGGGGGGTCAGGTTAGATACAGGGGCGTGGTGTATTGGGAGTGGAGGGTGAGGTTAGATACAGGGGCGTGGAGCATTGGGTGTGTGTGTGGGGGGAGGATCACGTTAGATACAGGGGAATGGTACATTGGGTGTGTGTGTGGGGGGAGGATCACGTTAGATACAGGGGAATGGTACATTGGGTGTGTGTGTGGGGGGAGGATCACGTTAGATACAGGGGAATGGTACATTGGGTGTGTGTGTGGGGGGAGGATCACGTTAGATACAGGGGAATGGTACATTGGGTGTGTGTGTGGGGGGGGTCAGGTTAGATACTGGGGCGTGGCGCATTAGGTGGGTGTGTGTGTGGGGGGGGGGGGCAGGTGGTTAGATACAGGGACATGGGATGATTAATAGATACATTGGGTGTTTAGGGCATGAGTTTAGATAGAAGGCAATTATAGATACTTAGTGGGTGTTGATACTTTTCCACAATAGGACACCAGTGGGCCAGTGTGAGACGGCATGGTCTGGTGATAGAGCATACAATTTTCAATCCGGAAGTCTCGAGTTCGGATCCTGGGCGTGAGTTCGCAGGACTTCTCTAATTCCACCCAGCTGATGGGTACCTGACTCACGTTAGAGAAAGTAACGGCTTCTGATTTTAGTATTTATCCTTTAGTCCATAAACTGAAGTCACAAAGATCGGAACTGACGAGTTCCAAAGGGGATTTTTTTTAAAACCTTTTTAAAAAACTCGGCTATTGCTTGTTTATAAACTAATAAATACGAGCCGGCCCGCGGCATAACATACGCCGCTATTTAGTTGTTGTTTTTTCAACTTTTCATTAATTCATAATTTGTGAATTCGACAGTACCAACGCTGACACTGAAAATATTTCTTTAAAACACTATATGTTCCTCCCCCCCCCCCCCAACGTTTTAAATCGTTTCAAACTAAATTATCTGCCCCTAATAGTCGTCGCTAACCCGGCTCTGTTTGTAAACATTTAGAGTGAACCACAGCTCACTTAGACCATGTAGGGTTATGGTCCTTAACGAGCTACTTATAGTGTTTTAAAGAAATATTTTCAGTGTCAGCGTTGGTACTGTCGAATTTACAAATTATGAATTACTGAAAAGTAGAAAAAACAACAACTAAATAGTGGCGTATGTTATGCCGCGGGCCGACTCGTATATATAGATTCACACACTAGCACTAATGTAAATCATGCATTTTCTTATACCTTAATTTAGTCCTTTGCTCTATGGTAACCCGAATCATAACGCTAAAACTAACAACCTTAGAAAGCAAAAATTTCCAAGAGGTGAACTTAGTCGAACATGTACCTTATGGATAGACTATTTTTTTTCTGGAAAGATTTTATTAAGAAAAAAAAACAACCTGAAACAAATTCTACCATTAGAACTTAAAATGTCAGATCTAGATGTTTGCAAGCTAGAAACTGATTGCGATACTGTAAATATGGCCGTTACCCTCACATTCTTCGTCCACCACAATAGAGTTGTTCGCAACTGTGTATGTGGGGCAGGTCGCCCAAGGGAGAGGACTCTGGAAACTCTGTGAGAATACAAGCCAATTTAAGAGTTATCTAACATGACGAGACTCCGTTTTCAAAACATTTATTTGATTTAAATCTTGTTAAGGAATAAAAAACAACAAATTTGAATCCGATAAAATGTTTGTTTAGTTCTATGTTAATACACACATGAGTCCGTCGTTGAAACCCACGTTAAAAGCAGGATAAGACCCAGTTTTAGAAAAAAAACACCTTTTAAGACACTTGTAAAGACCCCTCTTCAGACTAGGCTGATGACACACGTTAAAACCCGCGCTGCTGACACAAGGTGTGACCCATGTTAAGACCCAGGTTAAGACCCACTTTAAGATCCAGGTTAAAACCCACTTTGATGACCCAAGGTATGGCCCACGTTAAGACATAGGTAAAGACCCACTTTAAGACCCGCCTAAAGACCCAGGTTAAGAACCATGTTTAGACCCATATTAATGACTCAAGGTATGACCCAAGTTAAGACCCAGATGAAGACCCACGTTGATGATCCAAGTTATGAACCACGTAAGGCCCAGGTGAAGACACACGTTAAGACCCACGTTGATGACCCATGTTATGACCCACGTTATGAACCAGGTTAAAACCTACTAAGACCCACCTAGAGACCCAGGTTAATGACCCACTCACCTGGAACAGGTAGACGAAGCACCAGCTCATGATGGTGTTGTAGTAGAGCGACAAGTAGAAGGACACGATGGACGAGCAGATTCCCACACCGGCCAGGTAAGGCGACACCTGGTGGGCGGAAACAAAATGGCGGACAGAAACAAAATAAACAGTAGACAGAAACAAAATGGCGGACAGAAACAAAATAAATGGTGGACAGAAACAAAATGGTAGACAGAAACAAAATGGCGGACAGAAACAAAATGGGGGACAGAAAAAAAATGGTGGATAGAAACAAAATGGGGGACAGAAACTAAATAGTGGACTGAAACTAAATAGTGGACTGAAACTAAATAGTGGACTGAAACTAAATAGTGGACTGAAACTAAATAGTGGACTGAAACTAAATAGTGGTCAGAAACAAAATGGCGGACAGAAACTAAATAGTGGACAGAAACAAAATGGTGGACAGAAAAAAATGGTGGACAGAAACAAAATGGTGGACAGAAACAAAATGGTGGACAGAAACAAAATGGTGGACAGAAACAAAATGGCGGACAGAAACAAAATGGTGGACAGAAACAAAATGGTGGACAGAAACAAAATGGCGGACAGAAACAAAATGGTGGACAGAAACAAAATGGTGGACAGTAACAAAATGGTGGACAGAAACAAAATGGCGGACAGAAACAAAATGGTGGACAGAAACAAAATGGTGGACAGAAACAAAATGGTGGACAGAAACAAAATGGCGGACAGAAAAAAATGGTGGGCAGAAGCAAAATGGTGGACAGAAACAAAATGGCGAACAGAAAAAAAAACCTCCAAGACATTTAATTGGTTTCTTTAAATAGCCGATCATCAAAATATGAGAAAAGCATGTAGTTTTAAAAATTAATCTAAAAATTAAAAAACCAACTTTAAAAAAAAAGCACCGGTAGGATAATAGACTATCGTATTTTTATTCCGGTATCGCTAATAGAATCACGTTTTGGATTACTGTTGGGATAGGGTTTCATATTAAAAGATATAGTCATAACTATATTTGAAATAGGGTAAAGGCAAAGGCTTGGTTCAAGATTTCGATAGGGACAAAGCTAGAGTTTTGGTATCGATACCCGCAAAACGTAACTTCAACATTTTGATAACACCTTGTTTCTCCCCCCCCCCCCCACCTCCTCATATATCCCAACACATTTTGAAAACTGATTGCCCTTTTGTAATGGTTGGTTAACATAAACAGTAGCGTGCGTAGCGCCTGTATTCAAACTTGACCCCGTAGATCACAGGGATGATTATAGATATTTACCCAACTTGTAGTTCACTTCCTTGTCGTTCGCAGACTGCGGGTTTGACAAGGACGGAACCGGATGTTTCCGCCCACCAAATTTACTCTACTCATGTCACATAAGGGGAGATTACTATTATTATTACCAGTTACATGGTAACCTTATCACTAAGACTTGGTTTGGCTAGACGCTTTGTTCAACATTAGAGGTCTGGTCTATTCCGCTAAGCTCGAACAGATTTGCTTTTTTCTAATCTAGTTGACAATTAGTAGTGGGTCGAGAAAGATGGCAAATAATTTGTGGAAAAAATCAACTACTGCGTCCCAACATCACTCACTTCTTTCCTCTTAGTGCAGTGCTTCTTAACTTTTTTTTTGGAGGAACCGAAATCAAACAGTTTTATAAGCGTATTCATCGAACCCTTTTTAATAGTTCTATCGTCCGCACTGACAAAACCCCAACGTGAATCGTATGAGTCGGTTGTGTGTCTTGACCTCAGCCAAACCCAAATGATTGGCTTACCAAACCCCTAGGGTTCAAGGGAAACCAGGTTGAGAACCTCTGGATTAGTACATACGTTAATTATTGACTTGAGATAACATCAAGGTAACATTACATAAGCTGTACTTCAGATGTCTAACGATCAGAAAGAAAACAAAGTCTTTGTCTCTGGAACTATTTTTTTAGAAGTATGAATTTCTGCAACTGTTTTTTCAAAAGTATGATTCTGTTTTCTAAAGTATGATTCTCTGGGACTATTTTTCCAAAAGTATGATTCTATGGAACTATTTTTCCAAAAGTATGATTCTCAGGAACTATTTTTCCAAAAGTATGATTCTCAGGAACTATTTTAATATAAGCCTTATTCACTGGAACTATTTTCACCTGCTTCACTCACCTGGTTCCACGCACCTATAGCACCTTTCCTGAGTCTTTGACCGATGGCCAGTTCCAGAAAAAACAACGGGATTCCCTCTATGGCCAACATGACTGCATAGGGTATTAAGAAGGCTCCTGTTTGTGATAAAAAAAACAAAAAAAACAAATAGTATTAATGCATATTCGTAATGCAGTCTTTATTATTGGGAGACGTGTTTTCCGTATTGATAGAGCTTTTATATGTAGAATAAAATTTAAAAAGCCATCTCAACAATGTAAATAGGATTTAATTTTAATTAGGGGTGATTCATTATAATCTTTTATCGTTCGTACACAAGACTCATGGGCCAGATGAAGTAGAGTTCATCTGTTTCAATGAAGGGATAATGTATTGCGCTATGCTCAACTGCCTCGGTTTCCCCAACGTGAGTCAGGTATCCATCATAGCTGGGTGGACTCAAGGACGTCCTAAAGATTCAAACCCGTAATCGGGTTAGCAATCGTAAGCTCTACGTTCCAACCACGCTGTTCCTTTTAGGTGATTAACTTTTTCCCCCATAACTATCTTAATGCTCTTATTTCTAAAATATAAAAAACAATAACAGTAACCACAATTGCAAAACAGATCGATCTTCATTTCAATGAAATGATTGTTGTGTTTTTTATTCTAATTTATAGTGTCCACTGTTAAAGTGGTGATTTATTTTCATAATAATTAATTGCGTTATTTCGTTCTAATTAACAAAAGGAAGTAACCATTTTATCCGGGCGGGTAATTTACTTTGTTTCGTGTATTTCGAAATACCGTGATTTCGCCATCAATCTTCAGTGGCCACTAGGATCCCTGTTGCATAGTTAATTCTGTTGGCTAGACACGAATGCGGGTTTAACTAGCAGTTGTCTTCTCCTTTTAACTTTTAGCGAAACACCGAGAATAGCCTGCCTTGGAGTTCTTGAACTAATTTCAGACGTCATCGGTGTTGACTTAGTCTAAACTAAGCCATGAGAAAGGCGGTGTTGTCATTTTTATGTAGCGGAATAATCGGGCCAATTTGTCTATAAATAGAATATAAAACCTAGAAAATGTCAACTCCTCAATGATTTTTCCTCGGCCTTGACGTAAAGGTCAAAGTTCATAGAATAGAGTTTGTGAAACGACGAGGTATTTGTGTTTGATGTTGGAACATAAAGAGTTATGTGTTTTTTCCCGCTCAATAATTTACTAATTATCTTAACAGAGTGGTGTACTGAGGCCGAATCTTGAATAGAGAGACAGGATCAAAGCAGCGAAATAAGGACAAAAGCCAAAAACTATTCCCGTGAACAGACAGCTAATTACAAAAACAAAACACAAAAACAAATGACAGGGACATGAACCAATAACAACTCCAAAGAACAAATCCAAAGAACAAATCCCAAGATCGAACATCTAAAGAACAAATTTGGAAAACAAACACAAAAGAAGATTTTATAAAATTCCGAATAACAAAATACAAAAAACAAAACCTAAATAGATCATAAGAAGAGGAATAACATTTAGTAGCGCAAATTCTACAAAATAAAATAAAAATAAAATTTTAAAAATTTCAGTTTTGCACAATCGGCGCCACAGCGCTATCTTTACGTAACGACGATTCCCTCTGACCTAAAGGTTAAGTTGTTTGTCTGTATCGTCGAGACATTTATGTCGATAACTATGACATAGCTGGTTTATTTATAGCTACACGAGCGGCCACGAGACGATATCTAGCCCGAGAGTTCAAAGGGCTTTTGGGCGATACATTCATACAGGCAAATGTAAGCTGCAGAAATAAATCAATGAATAAATGAATATATATATATATATATATATATATATATATATATATATATATATATATATATATATATATATATGTGGTAATTTTTATTCGTAAAGTCAACACACAGCGACCCAAAACAAAAACATAAAGCTACAATAGATCGATAGATCATTCTGCAATGTTGTAATGAGAAATTATTGATTGATAGCGGAGATAGCAACAGGCATTAATTTCAGACTATTCCTAGTCAAGTAAGCAACGTAATTTTTTAAAAGGAATAACTGAAACTGCTTACTTTATAACGTAAATTTTTAAGAGCCTAACTGGGCTCCATTTAAAAAAAAATACCAAAGAAAAACCCAATGCTTTATAGCATTATTTGTAACTATTGATTTTTTCCCACAATTAAAGTAATTTTAAGAATTAATCTAAACATGAGTGTTTGTAACGCCAAAGTCTGTTATGGAGTAGTTCTTATATATGATATTTGTTATGAGAAATGGTGTTCTGATAAAATTGTATGTAACATATGCCCAAGGGGTTTTGTGGGTTGTTCAAGAATGTCAAATATTTGTGTTATATAATATCTGCTCATTCCCTAGTGAGCAATATAGTATTCAACCGTAGATTATTATTGACTGATGTTAATCTTGAGTTATAAAGTGTATTGATTTACGTTCAGCTTGAGATGTAACCATATTTTGATGGCGACCCAAGCTATCACGTGAGCCAAGTTCAATCAATATTTTTTTATACGTGAGCCGGGATCTGTTGGAGACATGCTGGGTAATCAAGTCTATTCACAAAATTCTTTTTATTCTAGCAGGTTTTTAAAGGCATTTTAGTGCACAGATATTATGTTTATACCACTTATTCATTGAATTATCTCCCTTAAAAATAAGCGATGCCGCAGACTAAGAATTGTATTTATTATTGGATAACGTTGTAATGTTTTATGTAGCAAATACACCCCCCCCCACCCCCATGTGGGTCCGCTCATCGCATAGCCAACACGATTTAATTTCAAACCCAAACAAGAGCTAAAAATAAACCAGCGCAAGGTCACGTGCTTGACATGACACTGATGACGTAGCGGCGACATCTAAAAGCCTAGAACACACAACTGTCGTGCGTTTATTGATTGGGAAGATCGAAGTTTTCGTAGATCAGAAGCTCAGCTTATTCACAGCACGTAACATGCAGGTTTTTGTTGTTTTTAAAACTAAAATCTGAATGTTATAGAGTCCTGCTGTGGTGTTGTGTTCTTGATGTCGATACTTGCAGAAGGTGGTGTTTTACGTTTGGTGGAGAGTACAGAGTAGTCGGTGAAACAAATTCTATACAGCATGCCCGAACACACACAATTAAAATTATACTCACAAATTAATGACTACACACAAAATTAAAATTATACTCACAAATTAATGACTACACACAAAATTAAAATTACACTCACAAATTAATGACTACACACAAAATTAAAATTATACTCACAAATTAATGACTACACACAAAATTAAAATTATACTCACAAATTAATGACTACAAACAAAATTAAAATTATACTCACAAATTAATGACTACACACAAAATTAAAATTATACTCACAAATTAATGACTACACACAAAATTAAAATTATACTCACAAATTAATGACTACACACAAAATTAAAATTACACTCACAAATTAATGACTACACACAAAATTAAAATTATACTCACAAATTAATGACTACACACCAAATTAAAATTATACTCACAAATTAATGACTACACACAAAATTAAAATTATACTCACAAATTAATGACTACAAACAAAATTAAAATTATACTAACAAATTAATGACTACACACAAAATTAAAATTATACTCACAAATTAATGACTGCACACAAAATTAAAATTATACTCACAAATTAATGACTACACACGTATATGTCACTCCCATTCACATGTACACACGGCCGAGTATTAGAAATACACAGCAGAAATACGTATACAGACATTCAAACACATTTAAACATACGTTCACACTTCACACACATACACGTAACACGCTCATAGAAACACGCACACACTTGTACTTATACTTAAGAGACAAGCACGATGATATACATGAGTACATAACATATCTTAGACTCATACAAGCACTCAGAGGCGTAGAGTCCCATTCCGGCGCCAGGGGCGAAATATTAATTTCGCGCCATTGGCTCCTTTCATAAATACATTTTATTCACAGGTTACCAGTCACTTTTCCACAGTTTATATTTTAATGGCACACAGTTTAAGTAGAAGAGTAGAAGACAGTTAAACAAGTCCCTTAAGTCAACTAATAGTATATTCTCTTAACTTCAACTGAGTATAATTCAGTAATGCAGCTCAGAAGGAGATTTTTAATTTATTTTCTACCTATTTTGGCGTTCCCCTAGGGTCGGTACATGGGACTGCCACCCCACCCGCCCTCGCTTTGCCCAACACCCCTCCCCCGCAAGCAACTACCCATCTCCCCCGCACACACACATACACCCAACTCTTCATCTTCTCCCTCACATCCACTCACATCCGCCCACTTCCCGATTTCATTCACCCGCACACACAACACACAAGACCATACACACATACAGCCAACTCTTTATCTTCTCCCTCATACACACACACATACACATATAAATACAAGTCCTTCAATTCTGCTGTAAGAAATCAATCAGACGTCATCAATTATTAATGAAAGTAATCTTGACTCTGCGGCAAAAAAAAAAAAAAAAAAAAAAAAAAAACTTTAATATACATTTGATGTCGCCTAGAAAGTGCGAGGGGGAGGGGAGGTGATGGAGTACTGATGATGGATTAAGGGATCTTAATTCCCTGACGTAGAGGTATAGGATGCAATGGGTGAACCTTGCATAGGCTAGGGTAATGTAGCGTTAGTGGATTTTCTGGTTTGTACGTGTAAGATAGACGCATCTAGACTGGTATAGGTTTAAGGTTAAAGTGGTAAAGACCAAGGGTTAACCTTGGTTATGGTCTTTGAACACCGTGGGCATGCATAGACATACAGCGATTAGATAGTTAAATCTGCTAACATGACACATGCTTGTATTTATTAATGTTCCACGTAGTACCAAATTTTCGAAAGTTAACCCTACAAAAATGAAGGCTGGTAAAAAAAACAAACAACAACTATAGGGCTGGTAAGTAGGTCACCAACCAGTTCTATAGCTCATGTAGGTTTTATTGAACCGTATAACTGGTTGGTGAAAGGCGTGATGTAGGGGAGAGGGGGCGCGTGTCTTAAATTTTGTTCCACGAATATAATAATTAGAAGAATGTAAAA